CCTACCTTGCACTTGACCTCCTCTGTGTCCAAGAGGTTAATGAGGACCTCAAGGCCTCCAACATCTCGAATAGCCAGCTGGCACGTCTCCTGGGACAGGTTAAAGTCACGCAAGGAGCACAATGCAATGATAGTGGCTGTTTGGTTACCTCCCTTCAAGGACAGAAAAATGTATTAGTGCAATGATAATTTGGTTACCTCCCTTCAAGGACAGAAAAATGTATTAGTGCAATGATAGTTTGGTTACCTCCCTACAATGACAGAAAAATGTATTAGTGCAATGATAGTTTGGTTACCTCCCTTCAAGGACAGAAAAAAATATTAGTGCAATGATAGTGGCAGTTTGGTTACCTCCCTTCAAGGACAGAAAAAATATTAGTGCAATGATAGTGGCAGTTTGGTTACCTCCCTTCAAGGACTGAAAAATTAGTGCAATGATAGTGGCTGTTTGGTTACCTCCCTTCAAGGACAGAAAAATTAGTGCAATGATAGTGGTTGTTCGTTTCCCCCCCCCCCCCCCCTTCAAGGACAGAAAAATTAGTGCAATGATAGTGGCTGTTTGGTTACCTCCCTTCAAGGACAGAAAAATGTATAAGTGTAATTATAGTGGCTGTTTGGTTACCACCCTTATAGGGTAAACAAACAAACAAACTTTCAGTGCAATTACAAAAGCTGATTGATTTATTACCTTCCTTGGGGTAATTAAAAAATGCCATGATCATAAAATAATGCAGTAATGGTAACTGTTTTTATTGTCTCTAATAGAAGGTAACAAAAAATGGAAATAAATACATATAGATGATGGGAAAAACACAGCACAATTTTAGAGGCTGTTTTTTTAAACCCATTACAGGGATAGCCAAAAGATTTCATTTAATGTGACTGATCAATCTACCAGGAAGATAACTATTACAACAGTCTGAGTTTCAAACTTCTGTATTTAGAAATAACATTTATTTTCATGTATATTTGTTTCACCTTTAAATATTTGACAAGTTTTTGAATTTGCCAGTATTCTGTAGGTAAATCAGCATTTGCCTCAGTTCTTCTTTCAATAGTTTCCTCCTCTTCTTCACTTTCGGTAGAGCTTTCACTGAAAGCTTCCTCACCATCTGCCTTTTCTTTTTGAGAACTACTAAAATAAAAAATAACGGCTGCCTTTATATTATTTCTTTATATGTTGAGAAACTCTAACAAAAACATTTAATTAAAAAAACTATAACTAGAAAAAACATTAGCAATTTTTTTGTATTTTTAATGACACACTTTAAAAAAAAAAAAAACTAGAACTACAGCTAATTCTTTTAAAATATTATTGACACTTTAAAAAAAAATTATCTGGAAAAGAAAACAGCAAATTCTTTGTATTATTATTGACACAGTTGAAAAAAAAGTTATAAATAGAAATAATAATAACAGTAAATTATTTAACATTATCATTGACACTTTAAAAAAACAATTATAAATAGAAAAATAAAGAATAATGAATTCTTTGTATTATTTGTATTATGATTGAAAACTATTTTTTTAAAATTTATAACAAGAAAAACAGCAAAATCTTTATATCTTTGACACACCTAAAAATAAAAATTAACTAGAACTAGAAAATTTAACTGGTGTACTTACATTTTCTTATTTCAATAATGAAAATAAAAGACAACTAACCTGGAAAATATTGATGACTTGTATCTGTGTTGTGGCATTATAACTGAAGACCTGTGAAAATTTGCGGGAGATTACTTTTTTTAATAGTATTATTATTTAGATCACTTTTTCAATAAAGTAGAGGCCTATATATTTTGTGTACATTACAAAAGCATATAGACTTCAAAATACTTAAATCCATTATTTATGTTATTCAATAATAAATGAAATAAAGGAAAGGGTTAAGACATGTCATACCTGTGAGTGTATTCATCTATATTCTAGATGCATTAGGATTATTTTAAGGGGAGACGGTGAAAATTTTGTTATGCAAAGGAGGGAGGGATTGAAGGAAGGCTGCTTTATTTTTGTGATGATGTGTAAGAATACAAGGGGTGGGGGTAATAAATGGATATAATATGTGACGTTTATGCAAGTCTCTTAATAAACAATATCGTTTGTTTACATTTAATTTAGTTTACATTGATAATTAACAAGATATGTTTTGATTGCAATGAGCTACAATAATTACAAAAATGAGAACAATTGTTTTATAAAAAATTAAGAACAATTTTTTTAAAGAATTCACAAAACAAAACAAAAATGTATACTTTAACTGTTTTTGTTATGTGTTATTGAATTAGATTTACATTAAAAGTATTTTTTTAAACGAATGAAGTTTTTTGTTACTTATTTATATCAAATAATTTCAAAAATGCTATAGATTTAGTTTCAACTATTATACTGGAATATGCATATCAGATAACAAAATTTGAAACAAAAAACTGTAAGATCAAATAACTTTCTGAAACATGCTTGAGGAAAACAAGCAACGACTAAACGGAACTTAAATTTTTTTTAATCTAGTACCATTCATGGCGACGATGGTGTGGCAAGTGATCTTCCTCGTGAATTCGCATACCCGCTTTCTTAAATATATTCGCTATATCCTACAAAAACAAAAAATTCTTTGATGAAAGTGGCGAGCTTCATTCCTTAAATAATAGCTCCTTTCTTATTTAATGTCTTAAATTTAAAAAATTATAGCCATTTCTATTTTCTCCGTTTTGAATACTTTTTCATCTATCTGCACAGCATGATAAAATTTTAAACTATGATTTAATTTTGTTTTTTTAATAGGAAATTCACAAAGTAGAAGAAATTAAACAATTTTTTTACTTTAGTATGATGTATTAGGTATAGGAATATGTTTTATACATTTTTGACAGTATGATATACTGATCACAAAAGCTACAGAACAAAACTTTTTTAACCATTGAAATTCTTTTTTAAAACATAAAATTTAACAATGTTTCACAGTAAACAATAGTCACAGGCTGGTCTGCTGTGTTATATTTCTAGCTTACTTTAAATGTTTTGTAAATGTTACTTTTTCTTTTGAAGTGTAGTGAGGTAGGCTTAATTGTTTATGACAAATATAAAATAAGAAAAGAAGTAAAATTACAACTAAAAAAATGATTATTACAATCTCTTACTTGCTAAACCACTATTTAAATAACTATAAAGAAAAGCGAAGTATGATATACTGATCACAAAAGCTACAGAACAAAACTTTTTTAACCATTGAAATTCTTTTTTAAAACATAAAATTTAACAATGTTTCACAGTAAACAATAGTCACAGGCTGGTCTGCTGTGTTATATTTCTAGCTTACTTTAAATGTTTTGTAAATGTTACTTTTTCTTTTGAAGTGTAGTGAGGTAGGCTTAATTGTTTATGACAAATATAAAATAAGAAAAGAAGTAAAATTACAACTAAAAAAATGATTATTACAATCTCTTACTTGCTAAACCACTATTTAAATAACTATAAAGAAAAGCGAAGGTCGCTTTTATTATTTATTGAATACCTTTACTAGAACTTAATTAGCAGCCCACACTTTTTTTTATCGGTTATTTAAATAGTGGTTTATTTTTACATATTTAAATATAATCATATTTATTTTCTCTATTTTAGTCGTTAATTATATAAATCCTTGTTTTTAAAATGTTTTTATGAATCATTTTTTTAATTATAACTTAAATTCATTACTGTGTATATGGTGAAACTGTTATTTTAAAGAACACTCAAACTAATTTTGATGTTTTAGTTTCGCTTGGAAGTAGTTTTAGTATTTTATAAAAAAAAGTCTATGGCAATGAAAACTTTCATACTGTTTCTGATTTTCCTCTTCCACTGTGAGATTTTTCCATTTTAAAGAAGGCTCCAACTTAGCCTTTGTCTGGGTCTTTTGTGTTTTGTCTCGGTCTTGATGGTGGTCTTTGTGATGGCGGTTTTGTCTGTCTGAGCGGTTAGTGTGTTCGCCGTCATCATCTCTACCAGGGTGAGACACTGCCATGTTGGAATCTGAGTCTTTGTCTTTGACTGTAAATTCCTAGCGTACACAATGGTATTGCTTTTATACTCATTGTACACAACTTATACTAGTAAACCAGTGGTGTGTTTTAACATTTGTTTTGTTAACAAGAAATTTAAAAATAAAATAAAAGAATAATGCATAAATTATCAATGATTTAAATTTAAAAAAAAACAGAACTTTTTAAAAGAAAGAAAATTTTAAAAGAATAATTTTTTGGATAGAAATTTATAATAAATTTGAAACTTGAAAGGAGCTGTTTGTATTTACTTGATAAACCCCATAGGCTATTATTTATTAAAAACAAATTTTTAAACTTATCATCTTTTTTGTATATACTTGCCCAGTTTAACAAAATGATAAGCCTATGGTGTTTTCCATACACAAGCTGCAGTACAAAATGTAAACTGCTTACCTGGCGTGTGATCAAATCTGCAAAGTGGGGCGATTTTGCTTTCAACAAGGAAACAAGCTCCCTGTAGGTTTCCTCATCTGCACGCTCGTAGTCCAAGAGCCCGTTGTTTTCTAGCTGTGGACCCTATAGAAGCAAATCAAATTTTTTTCTAAATTAAAACTTTATCAAGGATTTAAAAACTTTAAAAATAAATACAACTCGGCAAAATTTTAAAGATTAATTAATTAAATAATTAATTATAAGAGCAATAATAGAAGCAAATGTTACTTTATTGAAGTAATATCCACTAGTGTTGGCTGTCACATAGAGTAAACTATCAATGTCGAAACATTTGATTGCTAGGTAGCAAATGTCTCCATTCAGCTGACGCCAGGGTTGAGCTCTGCATCCATTCTGATAGACATAAGTCTCCCCTACAAACATAAGACATCCATTCAGATAGACATAAGTCTCCCCTACAAACATAAGACATCCATTCGGATATACATAAGTCTCCCCTACAAACATAAGACATCCATTCGGATATACATAAGTCTCCCCTACAAACATAAGACATCCATTCGGATATACATAAGTCTCCCCTACAAACATAAGACATCCATTCTGATATACATAAGTCTCCCCTACAAACATAAGACATCCATTCTGATAGACATAAGTCTCCCCTACAAACATAAGACATCCATTCGGATAGACATAAGTCTCCCCTACAAACATAAGACATCCATTCGGATATACATAAGTCTCCCCTACAAACATAAGACATCCATTCGGATATACATAAGTCTCCCCTACAAACATAAGACATCCATTCGGATAGACATAAGTCTCCCCTACAAACATAAGACATCCATTCAGATATACATAAGTCTCCCCTACAAACATAAGACATCCATTCGGATATACATAAGTCTCCCCTACAAACATAAGACATCCATTCTGATAGACATAAGTCTCCCCTACAAACATAAGACATCCATTCGGATATACATAAGTCTCCCCTACAAACATAAGACATCCATTCTGATAGACATAAGTCTCCCCTACAAACATAAGACATCCATTCTGATATACATAAGTCTCCCCTACAAACATAAGATACCCATTCTGATAGACATAAGTCTCCCCTACAAACATAAGACATCCATTCTGATAGACATAAGTCTCCCTTACAAACATAAGACATCCATTCTGATATACATAAGTCTCCATACAAACATAAGACATCCATTCGGATATACATAAGTCTCCCCTACAAACATAAGACATCCATTCGGATATACATAAGTCTCCCCTACAAACATAAGACATCCATTCGGATATACATAAGTCTCCCCTACAAACATAAGACATCCATTCTGATAGACATAAGTCTCCCCTACAAACATAAGACATCCATTCTGATATACATAAGTCTCTCCAACAAACATAAGAGTTATAGATCAATTAAGAGATTTTAGAAATCAGTGAAACTGCAGTAAAATAAATGTAAAATTATGACATTTATGTTAGTATTACTTCAGATGTTAAGAGATGGTTAAGCTGGTTTTTTCTGCAAGACTTTCTGTGAGGTTAAGGGTTGTATTTGGACCAGGGTTAAAATTAGACTCCAGGTAGATAACATATAAAAAGTACTTTTGCTGAGCTATTACATTGGTTGTAAAAACTCCTTGTAGAAGATTATAGCACTTTTATAGCCAATGTATTACTTCTAACAGAAGTCCCTATTGCTACATGAGGGGACCTTATGCAAATTCTGCTAAGTCACTTCAGATTAATTTTATGGAAATATTTTTTTTATGAACTAATCTTAGTATTTTTCATTTTTTACTGTTAAAAGAAAATTTTCAAGTATCTTTTAGTTATGCCTTCATGACAATTATGCGGTGACTATTAAAAAAGATGATCATGACTTCGTCTGTTTTTTAGCTATGAAAAAATTAACTTAAATTTAAATTGACAACACTTTCCCTTTCTTAAAAAGTTAAATTAATTAAACAGCCTATGATAATAATAAATTATTTATTTTTAAGGTTGACGTAGCACTTGTAGCAGACTATTCACTTCATCTGAATGTAAATCAAACAGACAGAAAGGTCGCAGATTTCAATTTAGATGTATTCAACTAACATCATACAAATAATCTACAACAATAATTTATAAAATGCTATATAAAAAACATGAAAACCCATCCACCTTAGATTTGCAACTCTTTAAGAAATATCAAAGCTATTAGAAATAGTAGCACAAGCTAAGACTAAGCGCAGTGACGCACTCAACCAGAGGCGTAGCGACCCTTCCCGGCGCCCGGGGACAAACTTTTCGATTTGCACCCCCCCCCTCAAACTTTTGATTTGCACCCTACTCGAAATTTTGATTTGCACCCCCCCTCCCTCAAATTTCGATTTGCACCCCTACCCCTTGAGATTTCCATTTGCACCCTATACCCCTCAAACTTTCGATTTGCACCCCCCTCGAGATTTCCATTTGCACCCCCCCCCCCCCTCAAACTTTCGATTTGCACCCCCCCTCAACCTTTCAATTTATTTTTCCAACCCATTTTGGCGCCCCCTAAGGTCGGCGCCCGGGGACATATGTCGTCCCCCCCCCCGCTCACTACACTACTGCACTCACCATAATAAATGATGTCCTCCAGAGGCTGCCTGTATTTATCACTGCCACTAACTTTCTTTAAAACTGTTACTTCACCATCAACAATCTTTGGGTTCAGTCGCATATCACTGATTGTAAAACAAAAATGTCATCAAATTGTAAGTTCGCATATCACTAATTGTAAAACAAAAATGTCATCAAATTGTAAGTTCGCATATCACTAATTGTAAAACAAAAATGTCATCAAATTGTAAGTTCGCATATCACTAATTGTAAAACAAAAATGTCATCAAATTGTAAGTTCGCATATCACTAATTGTAAAACAAAAAATGTCATCAAATTGTAAATTCGCATATCACTAATTGTAAAACAAAAATCTCATCAAATTGTAAGTTTAGTTAACCAATTATTTATGAAGTGAAGATTACAGATTTGGCTGTATGAAAACAAATGTAGAAAATTTTTAAAGAAATAGTTATTTCTATTTTTAAAAAAAAAATTAATTTCAACAGAAACCTCATGAAAAGAAAATGTTAAGAACCAAGTTTACAGTAGACCTAAATATTCACATATATAAGTTCGACTAGCCTAGTTTGGTGCATCATACTTTTTTGGATGATTTTTACAACAAAGAGTGTCACGCTTCAGTCTATCACTTCACCGTTTAGAATATATATTTTTTTTTTTTAAAAAAAAGGAATTTCTAAAGTATGAACTAAACTTGGTCAAGTTTAGGTATATTAACCAATTTTTTATTAAACTTACAAAAATGTATTTCAAAAATGTGAAATAACAAATAAAATCCTGTTAAATCATGTACTTTTTTTTACAGTAATGTCAGAATGATATTACATTTACAGTGGTAAAGATGCTTTGGGATTAAGCAAGGGTTAGATCGCGAAAATAATTGGACTTTTAATACGAATCCACAGCTCAATATAAGCAATAGAAAAAATAATAAAAGGACATTTTAAAAAAAGATAAAAATTATTATTTATGTACTTTGTGATTTTGATGATACTGGCATTCAACATTTGTTCGTCAAGGCGCAGAAGTTTCAACCTAAGATTCAAAATTTTCTTTTTATCTTCCAGCTCCTGCATTTTGTCTGCATTTTTCTCCTAAAATTACAACAAAGATGTATAACTTAATAAAGCATAAACATTTATTCAGTTGACTTATTTATAATTATCCAGAAAGAATCTATAGAAACAGTTTCAGGGCTATGGAATAGAATTTGTAATAAAAGTAAAAGTACTCTTTTTGTAACAGATTGTCCATGTGGGTGGTGAAGTAAAGTACACCTGTTTCATTGGCCTCGGTATATAAAGGGATTGTGTGGTCAGCACTATGCCTTGCCACCTTTACACTACCTAATCTGAGTCAGATACCCATCATAGCCGGGTGGAAAGGTATGTGTGATTTGACTGTGTTAAGAATGCTGAATTTGTAAATTACAGAAATTCACTTACAGTACTTTTATATAATGCTTCAGACTCTTTCAGTATTTCTTCATGAAATCGAAAAATTGAATTATCTGAACCTTCTACTGTTGCAAATCTGTCACCCAGCATTTTGGCGACTGGGTCTCGATTTCCTGTTGATATAATTGCATTTATTTAAATATCACTTAAAGATGAATTTTTAATGGAGAAATAAATAAGTAATTAGGCTATTTTGGACTGTTTGTGTAAGCAGTTCTGCCAAAACAGAAATTGTATTGTTGAAATTTTAAAAATAAAATTATTTTTAAATATTAACCATTAACAATGGTTAAACAAAGTTCAAAATATAATGTCTATTTTAAATGTCAGTACTTTATTTTTTACAAAAAAATCCCAAGATTCCTACAGTTTTACCTACTTGTGTAAATATGTCCTTGGGTCTCAAAACCTATCCCCATGTAAAGTATGAGGGTTTGTTCATAAATGATGTCACACTCAAAGGGGGAGGGTACATAATTTTTGCAGTTATTTTGTGTTTTAGAAAACTGTTTTAATAAATTGTGATAAAAATATATGAAAATACTCTATGTTGACCGAGCTCAGTCTATATTTGTAGGCTGAGGTGTCACATCATTTTAGGGGGGGTCTGGATTTTTGTGACAATGTGTGACGGATGGGAGGGGCTAGGTAAAAATTGTCCAAAAAAGCTTGACATCATCATATGGATGACCCTTGATAATCTATGAGGACTGTGACGTAGATGTCTATAACGAAAAAATGTAGGCATGGAGAGAGTGTGTGATAGAGTGGCCTCCCCTTGAAAGTGGTGTGCTAACGGGGAAAAAAGTGTGTAAACAAAGCAGTGTGTGAAGCAATGTGGTGTGGTGTCAACAGTGTACCTACTCGCCCATTTTCATATTGTCACGTTTCTTGTTGTTGGTGAAAATTAACAGTAAATTATACAGATTCTCTTTATGGATTATGTTTATTTACAATTATCACACCTGGCTCCAACCAGCCCAATATACCTAAAACGCAGCGTGTAACAAGGACCTAGTAATGTTTTTTTTCAACACAAACCTTACCTTCTAAGCATGTTCGAAGTTCTATCAGCTTCTTCTCTCCTGCTATTTTAAGTACATTAATTGCATGCCCCAAAGTGTGCACTTTCAAGGTACCATCTTTCTTCAACTCTAGCAGGGGTGTTGAATCCTGGGCTGAAGTTTCCTCTGAGACGACAGATGAATATCTGAAAAATGTAATAATAAAAATAGGTGTCAGTGGCGTAGCAAGGTCGGGTGTCACCCGGTGCGGCACTTAATGGTGTCACCCCCCCAGAGGCGTTACGACCCTTCCCGGGGACAAACTTTCAAGTTTTCGATTTGCACCCCCCCCTCAAGTTTTTGATTTGCACCCCCCTCAAGTTTTTCTCTATATATTTTGCTATTTTTTGCCTTGGTTTCACCCCCCTAAATGGTGTCACCCGGTGCAGTCCGCACCCCCCGCCCCCCCCCCCTCGCTACGCCCCTGTTAGAAGTAATAAAATTTTATTTTAAAAACAAACAATTATACATTAATTTGGATGGTAATTTATAATTAGGATCACGACTGGTTTGTTCAGAGAGCTGGTGTTTTCTATGGTGATGATTCAATGAATAAGTCAGTCATATTAAATCACAGGAAAATAAGCCCAACAAGAAAAATGTACTTGTAATATTTAGAAAAACTGTACTTTACTTCAATTGTCCCCCTTTCAAACCTATACTACTTAGTTACCAGATGCACATGACTTCATGAATCGAGAAAATAAAAACATAGATTTATTTTCTCCTAATGGAAATTAAATTTTGACATAAATTCAAACACTTACTTTCTTTTATACCCAGGTATTTCAAAATTATCCATCGACAATGTAGATTTCCATTCCAAAGGCTTTTTGAATATCAGATTTAACTCTTCACTCAATTTACCATCTTCTAAGAAGCCCAGGACTGTGTTGAGTAGCTCTTCATTAAGTGAGGTGAATTCCAATTTACCAGAGGTTCCATCCTGGGCTGATGTCCACTGTGCTGCTCTTTGTAAGGTTTGACCCATTTTATCCTCCTAACTTTTTACTGCAATAAAATATTTTGGATACAACTTTTACTGTTTAAATTATTTTAAAAATGAGTTTAATGTATTCATAAATAATAAATAACAGGTTTAAGTGATCTTTTACCTAAGAAAAAAACTCCTTTAGCTAGACTCTAAAATGAATGACTGCTTATTTAAATCTTCTGGTGCAGTGCCAAAGCAGTGTTTCTGCAGGTTTTTAACATTTGGCAGTAACATACAAACACATAATGTCATGTTTAGTGACAGTTTATTAGTCTAATTAATGGGAATACTTTCATAATTTAAGCCAAGGCAAATGTAACTGTAATGGAGAACATAAACCACATCAATAAGGCCTACTGGGTGACGCTTTTTTTTTTGGCAATTTTTACCCTGCCCCCCTTCCCTCAGTCACATATTGTCACAAAAAGCCAGATGTTACACCTCAGCCTACAACCCCCCCTCAAAATTGCAGTAACATTTTTCTTTAAACATGGATATTTTTCCAAAATCTTGTCTGAACTCTGTCAACATAAAGTATTTTAATCAATTCCTATTACAATTTATTAAAACAGTTTTCTAAAACATGAAATAACTGCTAAAACTTGTTTTCTAACATTGATTTTTTATAATGCAAAAGTGTGACTTCACACCATCTGAACCCCCATCCTCCCCCTCATCACACACCAGTCACAAAATTACGCCCCCCCCCCCCTCCCCTCTCGAGTGTGACGTCATTTATGGACGACCCCATAGTTGTATAAGAGTAGACTAGATATAATTATAAATTTAGTATTAAAGTAGGCCTATTGACAATTAAATATTTTTATCTTTTTTAGTTAAAATACTTTTAAAAATAATAAATAAATTAAAAAATAATGCTAGTTGCTAGGGAAGGGCCTTTAAATTTTATTTAGGCCCTATATAACAAGTCTTTGTATGATTATTAATGATTATGTTATTAACTCATTAGATCTGGATTCGGTGCTAATATATTCAAAAGTTACTTAACCACTTTTATTTATTTCTCTTACCCGTAGATTAATGAAATGCACAGGAGAGATTCTGCAGCTCACACTTTAAAACTCAATACATGCTTCTGTAGCAACTGTTGTCAACATAGTGTGCGCATGCGTTGATGGTTAAAAATCAAAAAGGCCGAGTTAGTAGAATTATCCTACTTAATACTACTTATAACTAAATATAAATCAGTGTCTTTTTTATGTAAATCATCTTAAATCATTAATGTACTATCTGTAAAAAGTATGCAACACTATCAAGAATTTTTTATTATAGGTTTTTAATAACGATTGGAGTACAAAAAAATAATTAAATATTTCCCTTGTGCGATTTCTATAAATAGATCTAAATATTCCTTCTCAAATTTTGATTGCAAGGTTCATGGAATAATAGCTTCCGGGTGAATGTTATTATTTAGATATTTTATTATTTAGAAAATGGAGGCCCTTCCGAGACTTCCTATGTTGTCATTTGAATTGAAGCATAGCCCAGAATACGTCGAATTTGGACCGGCATTAAAACAGGTATTCTAAATATTATTATGTATAGTCTTCTTTTTAAAAAGATAATCACATGTTAAAAAGTAAAACACTTCGACCAAGCGCCTTGTTTATCGACAAATGACTCATTCTGATTCTCACAAGTCCAGAATCTCAGTCAGAATCAGAAAGTTAGGCCTAGATCTAGATTTCTAGATCTAGAGTCTAGATTCTAGTAGTAGATCTAGATCTACTACTTTACGTAACTTAAGTGAGAATCTAAATCTAGATCTAGAGACTAGATCAAGCTAGATTTAGATCTAGATTTAGTGACTTAGTCTAATCAAAGTCTAGATCTAGACTAGCTAGATTAGTTTCTAAATGTAGCCTACATAGTAGTTTTTCTTACTATATGTGAAATCTACTCAATTCTCAATTTAAACATGACAACTGAATAAAAAACGTCCATACTTTATCCCCTAGGCACTAATTTGGGGGTTGTAGCGAGTTTAGGCTAAATTATTGAATTTTAAAATGTTTTGTCACTCACAGCTATGATATGACGGATCATCCATGACAACCTGGTTAAAAGTTGAAAGGTTTAACTTTTTAAGTGACCGTGAAATAGATCTAATTTTTTTTCACAAGAGAGTTCCTAAAAGTAGAATTGGCCCGTCTATCGTCGGGATATATTTATAGAGGAAAAAAATTTAAGAGAATGTCATCAGAAAAGAATTTTAAAAAAGACAAGACAGAAGTGATGTTTGAATTCTTTTATTTCTTTAATTTTATAACATTTTTTATTGTACAAAAGAGCAAAATAAAAAACCATGCCAGGTAAACGTATCCATTCAAATAGCGGTCACGTGGTCAAAAAAAATAAAAAAATTAGGTTGTCATTTTATGGACACATCATATAAAAAAAAGTGTTGAAGATATTTGATTTATTTTTTCATAGAATGATAAAACTAATAATGCTTTACTTTGGAAATCAATTTTGTGAGAGGGAGATCTATATTTAAAAAGTTATATTATTTTGAATGACACCGACTTAAAATTTAGCCTACATTCCCCAAAGCAATTTCTGAAAATGCTTTTCTGGCATATTTAACCTTGCCACCTATAGCATGTTTTTATAACGTGAAAACCCGCCATTTTACTCGTGATAAACATTTTTAAAAGTAATTCTAAGAAGGTCTCTGGAACTAAGTCGAAAAACTCGCCGGAAGTCATGGTCCGATCCTTACGCCATGTTCTGGTTAGCAACCAAGGACGCTTTTAAGTTAGTGAGCCTCCCTACTACATAGTACTACATACTACATTACACATCACATAACAATTCATAACATAGGAACAAAGAAGAAAAAGAAAGGTTGCATGTTGTGGGAAGTTAAATAATAACACTCTGCTTCAGTGCTTATTTTATTAAAGCTTATTATTTATTCATTAGTAGGCCTAATTAAGATAAAATTGCTATACCAAACCAAGACTATACCTAATACCAGAGGCGTTGTGAATCAGGGGCAGGGGGTGCTGACCGGGTGACACCTTTTAATTGAAGAGGTGACATGCAAAATTGCAAAATGTAGAGGCCTACAGAAGAAATATGCTTTTTTTCCAGTTCAATTAATGGCAAAAATGATTAATAAGAGTTAATCCACCTGTATTAATAATTGACTATAGATAACCATCTTTACTATTAGTGTACACGCTTTACACCCCAGGAGGAATAAAGGCTTGTTGCTGAGTATTTTGAATAACAGATAAGTTAATCAACATTTGAATTAATAGGTGGATTGTGTGCTCAAACTAATGCCATGAGGCAAATTGGGAAGGGAATGTCACCTATATACTAATAATTAGGCCTAGTAAAATGATTAAAATAAACTACAGATTACTAAGACAATAAGAAGCAGAGAAAGGTTTATAAATCCAAATTCTTAAAACATTGCAACTTGATCTATTATAGATTTTATTATAAAATTTACACCAAATAATTGGTTTCAGAAAGAGAAGTCCCTCATGAAAATAACTGAACACGGTAGCAAGGGCTAGGAAATGTCACAGATTTTAGACATCATTATTTTAGTTATATACGATTAAATATTGTACAATAAATAGGCCTATGTTATTTATTTGACAAAAGTTTTGAAACAATTTCTATCATCAGTATATCAAAGACCATTATGGAGAAGATCCAGCTCTCTATAACAAAGCTTGCACAGAACTAGAGCAACTGAGACAAGTAAGTGGGATAAGTGTGACTTATGTGTTAGCATGAAAAGTTGTTGTAAGCTGGGGTTTTAGGCTATTTATAATATAGGCTTGCTTTACAGCAAGTTTTGTAAAGAGTTTGATTTTTAGGCTTAACTTAAGGGATTATATGACATAGCTTGTGAGAAGAAAGAGGGAGTTTATATAAATCAAATTGACACAATAAATTTCTGCATAACACAAGTTTTGTAAAGAGTTTGTAAAGATTCTTAGGCTTAACATAAGTGATTATATGACATAGCTTGTGAGAAGAAAGAGGGAGTATATATAAATCAAATTGACACAATAAATGTCTGCAGCTGAGGTGAGTAATAAACTTAGAGAGCAGATAGATTGGAGTTTACTAGTTTCTTCTTATAAAGGAATGTAGTGCAATGCCCTGCAACTTTTAGCAACCCTCAAAAACTGAGTATAACCTAATGGATCTCCTATAGACACAACAAAAGCAGCCTGATCACTCGATTTAAACATAAATACTGTTACTGCTGTCAATAGGTTGTTCTTCTGTGCACATCAATTGTGATCATAACCAATGTGATTTTTTTGTATCAGGCAGCTTTACAAGTGAGCAGAGATTTTATGGGATGCACCACTTTAAAAAAGTACTATGCACAGCTACAGTATTTACAGGGGCGCTTTCCAATGGGAGAAGGTGGAGAGGCAGCCATTGCATTTACCTGGTAAATTAAAAAAAGCCCACCCAATAATCATTTTATTTGGATTGGTTTAAAACAAGAAGAAGTAAAAAAAAATTATTTGTGAATGAAGTGCAGACTTCCACAAACATTTAAAAAAATTTTTTCTTCAATACAGCATGAAAAGGAAGATAGATCCAAAATGTTAATTCTTAAATGTTGTTTCAGCTATTGTTTTACTGTTTTGTGACTACTCTGTAACTTCTTGGTTGTGCATGATTATGGTATATTTATGTGTATTCACTATCTCAGAACAAATTTGGTGTTTTGTGTTCAGACTAAAAAGTTCAGCACTTTTAAAAAATGCAGAGCAAGTTTTATTTCAGTTGTGAATGTTTTTCTTTGCTGTGATTAGCAAAAAATTAAAATTCTACAGGGAAGATGTGCAGACAGGCAGGGATCATGTCAAAAGTGACATCAAGTTTGAGCAGGCTTGCATTCTGTACAATATCGGCAGTCTGCATTCGCTGTTGGGGGCGTTGGACACAAGGCACAATGCTGAGGTATTTAAATGTATTATCGTCTTTCAGTGTCATCTCACTTATTCAGCAGATATAATCAGGCCACCCTTTAAGAGATGATTTCATTTCTTACTATACTTACACAAACATTACTGTATTATTTTCATATCATTTTTAAAAAATGAAACGTTTAACAAATTATTTTTTACTTAAATCATCAACTTTAATAAAATCCTTTTAGATATTTTTATTCTAAGTATACATGTTGCTACGTCTTGAATATTATTATAATAATATTAATATATTATATTATTATAATAATATTATTATTATTTTTAGTGGTTGAAGATTTTCTAGCACTCATTTTCAATGTAACTTGAGTATTTTTATTTTCAGGGGATGAAGATTTCCTGTACTCACTTTCAATGTGCTGCTTGGTCTTTTGAACTGTTGCGCAACAATTTTATCAGCTCGTCAATGAGCACTGATATGAGCTTCGAGTTGTTGAATTTTCACATCTATCTCATGTTGGTCAGTCAGATTACTTTAATACTTCATCTTCCACAGTTGGCGTTACATGTTCATAAAAATGTTGTATTGCCTTTGTCTATTACTAGCTGTGTTGTCTTGGTTTGTCTTAAGGATTTTGTGTTTTCTGTTTTTTTTACCAAGTTGTATTGTAAGATAGAACACCAACCTAAACACCACAAGTTAAATTACAGTCCAGCTACAAACAATACATTTAACATTTTAAATAATATAATAAATATTTTCAACTTTGTTAATACATTTGTGTTTGGGTTTTTTCTTAAAATGTAAAAAAAAAAATTTGTTAGTTAATTTCATATTGTTATTATTTTGTTTAAAACAATTATAAATAGGGGTATTTCATACTTGGTATAACAGCACAATCTTGTTGTATTGTAGGCACAAGCCCAGGAATGTATCCTGGAGAAGTCTATCATTGACAACAGGAAAAACAGCATCACAGCCAAAGTGGCGGCCAAAGTTGTTGAATTCTACAAGGACACCTGCAATCTCATAGATCAAGCAGATCAGAAACAACAGATTAATTCCAGAATGCACAAGGTTGGATTCCTGTCTTTTAAAACTAGTACATTTCACCCAGCATTATAAAGAAATTTGTTGTTGTTTTTTCGTAGAAATCCAATTTAAACATTAAACAAAAATTTCTAATAGTTTTCTACCACAAAGCCAGTGTTTTTTGGGAAAATCCAGAATTTTTCCAAAAAAAATTACTCTTGCTTATCCCCCTAGTAGCCAATTTCTTACAGACAGATGAATTATCAACAATTGATATAATGCATTTCATGGACAATTTTACTACACACATCTCCATAACCCAATCCACCCCCACACACATTCAGAAGCATTTATAATTGAAGAGATTTATGTAGTGTAAGATCACTGAACTAATAATAACAATCAGGATAAAGACTAGTTTCTTTACCACAGTTTATGAACGCATATTGTTTTTATCCTTACGATTCAATTCATTTACATATTTTTTTAAAATGTCATAGCTTTCACATGATAAAATCCTGGAAATGACTTGAGTTACTTAAATAAACAAAATTAAGTTTTTTAGGTGGTTAAAAACTCCTAATCAAAAGTGATTACTTTTAACTATAACTTTGTTGATAGGTGGTCTAAAAAATTAACTTTCACTTAGAATTGCTACCTTAAGATTCTCTTTACAATAATATTTTGTCATTTTCAGGAATGGGGAAGGCGATTGATCATGAAATCTGCCTTCTACCAGAGTGTGACATACTATTTCCTTGGGCGTGATGCAGAAGAAGGAGAGAAACCAGGAGAATGTCTGGCCTACTTCACTGCTGCAAGAGATGAACTGAATCGAGCCATCCAACTAGCTAAAGTACGATTTGTTGTTTTAGTGTAGATTTTTATTTACTTATCCATTCAATTCACAACTTTATTTACAATAATATAATCCGCAAAGAATACAGTTAATTTCAGTAATCAACCATCCACCGTTTGATATAACACTTATACTTGAAGTGCGGGAATACACAAGATAAAATCTAACAGTCAACACATATATCTTCCCCTTGCATTCATCTAGGCGGCCTTTTGAACATCTCATTTACCCCGATTACATAGCCCTACATTTGCTCTCTTCAGACAGTGAGCTATCTCCTAAAAGCATGCAACATACATTGATTGCTCAAGCATTCAACTATTATACGTTTTACCCCAAATACAATTCACCAAATACAGTCTGTTAAAGTCTTGTTTAGATTTTATTGCTCAGCTTCTCTGTATGGAAAGTCTGAGATCAACGAAGTATTATTTGTTTTTTTCATGAGATTTATTCCAAACGTATTAATTTTAAAAAAATTATTTTTTGATGACAGAATGAAGTACCTGAAGTTATTGAGTGTTTACAATTTGCCAAAGATGTTGTTTTAGGAAAGTAAGTTTTATTTTCTTCTTATTGATCTATAATGAATAGAATTATAATAAATATAATTACCTTAATGTAGCCTAGATATAAATTACTGTAAATTTATCACAAATTGTGTGAATGTAATTCCTTAAGTTTTAATTAAAATTTTATTTTTTATTGGCCAATGTGAAAAAATAATTTGGTCATACAGTTATGGTCATACAGTTGCGTTCAATTTTTTTTATACATCTCGTATTGCAGTACACTGTATGTTGAATTAAATATTTCCAGGTACGAGTCAGCAAAGAAAGACAATGATTTTGTGTACCATGCCAAAGTTCCAGCTTTAGACACTCTCCCAGAAATCAAAGGTTATTATACATCCAGCTTTTTAAATACATTTTTATTTTAATTGACAAAACAGCTAACCGAACATAACAGTACCAAGTTTTACATTCTGCCTGTACCTTGGTTAATTTAAAGCTAAAGTAAACTTAAGTCAGGGTTAAAGTTGAAAAACTTGAAATAAAGTTACCCTATATGTTCTGCTGATGTCTCATTCATTACCCAAGTTATTCAAATGAATTTTAATCTGATGTTTAGTCCAAGGATTTGTTTTGACATAATGTCTTAGTTTGTTAGCCCATAAATGCAGTAAAAAAGTTACCTTTTTGAACCTGACAGCTAATAGGGCAAGTGAAGTAGAGTTCACCTGTTTGTGATCTCAACATATAAACAGATAGTGGGGTCAGGACTATGTCAAGCTGCCTTTACTTTCCCTAACATGAGTCAAGTACCCATCAGAGCTGGGTGGGTTTAGGGATGTACTGCTGACTTGAACCCGGATTTGAACTCATGACTTTTTGTATTAGGCCACGCCATCCCATATAAATGCAGTAATGCCCTAATAAGTTCTTGTTTTACCATCATCAGGAGCTTGCTTGGTTAAAGGCATTCCATTCAACCCAGCCGACAAAGACATCTCAGGGCCAGACATCTTCCAGAAGCTGGTACCCATGGAGGCGCACGAGGCCTCGTCAGTTTACAGGTATGACAATCCAGCTTGCAACTTACTGTGGGTTTTTTTGTTGTTGTTTTTATAAAACTAGTATTTCTGCCAATAGAGCTGCTGCCTAGCTCAGGATTAAGAACATTGGTCATTCTGTATATTGTTTATTTGTAGGGGTAAAGATAAAGTTATTCCTATTCAAATATGCTTTTAGTTAAAAGGATATACTGTATTTTTAACACGTTTTTCTTAACTCAGCTTCGCGTTTGTGGATGGATTTGTTTGTTGTTAAAATTGACATCGAAAATTAGCCCACTTCTGATTGCTCTAGAGATCTGAAATTTGGCATACCGGCTACTTTCGCCTAACAATTTCAGATGCAATCATAAAAACTAGCAATTAGAGACCGCAATTAGCTTAATTTAATTACGCCATAAGGACCATAAAATTGAGGACATGATTTCTAAAGATACCGACAAGACTGAAGGCCTATTGACACAGTTACTTCGGCCCCAATCGATGTGAGCGCGCTGGCCGTGATCGTATAGTGGTTAGTACTTCGCGTTGTGGCCGCGACAACCCAGGTTCGAATCCTGGTCGCTCAAGATTTTTAGTCCGTGTATTTATAAACACTTAGTCAAGTCATACTTAATCAAGTCATTGGATAAAGTAGAAAATAAACTATATAAAAAACTTTTTTTAAAAACCACGTTTTTCATGTGTAGCAACGGACTAAAAAGGAGAAAATAAAATACTTAAAAAAACTTTTTAAAAAACCACGTTTTTCTTGTGGACTAAAAAGTAGAAAATAACTATTTACATACATTTGATGACAAAAAACGTGGGTCGGGCAGATGGGTCGGGAAATTTGATGGTGAACGTACCCACGTTTTTTGTCATCAAATGTATGTAAATAGTTATTTTCTACTTTTTAGTCCACAAGAAAAACGTGGTTTTTTAAAAAGTTTTTTTTAAGTATTTTATTATCTAATGATCATTTTATACAACAGCAAAAAAAATATGTTAAGCAAAATTTCTACTTAAGTCACACTGGTTTTTTTTTTTGTTTGTTGTTAACATGTCAATTGTTTTTCATTTCATATTGGCTTGTTTTATTTACAGTGAAGAGAAAGCCAAACTATCAAGGGAGGTTGTTGGTGATATAGAAAGAAAGGATGCTGAGCTAGAGTGAGTGTTAAAAATTTTAATTTCTGAAATCATCTGAACAAAGTAATTAAATTGGTTCAAAAGTGAAGATTCTATTTCTTGTGCTTCAACATATTAAGCCATAATATAGGTGATAATAGTTAAAAAGCAAATTTTATTATTGTTTTAAAAAAACTTGTAATTGTAATATCCAGGCAGTTCCTTTCATCGCTAAACTTGGATATGGAACAGCTGACTCCAAAACCTGACCTTATCCCTGAGAACCTGATGGAGAAATGTGCAGCCATGAGTGTCAGAACAAATGCCATTAAAGAACTGACAGACTCTATGGGCCGTAAGTCATGTTTACTGTATGGCACTCAAGCTTGTAGTGTCTGTTTAAAAACCTGATGGAGAAATGTGCAGCCATGAGTGTCAGAACAAATGCCATTAAAGAACTGACAGACTCTATGGGCCGTAAGTCATGTTTACTGTATGGCACTCAAGCTTGTAGTGTCTGTTTAAAAACCTAATGGAGAAATGTGCAGCCATGAGTGTCAGAACAAACGCCATTAAAGAGCTGACAGACTCTATGGGCCGTAAGTCATGTCTCCTGTATGGCACGCAAGCTTGTAGTGTCTGTTTAAAAATAAAATTATCCACATAGGCTATCACTCCTTGAGCTCAAAATTTCCACATTTTCAATGAGATGCTATAAAAGTCCATGACTGTCATTAAAAAGAGAAACAATAGAAACTCCATAACTTGTTTATAAACCATATACTTGTTAATGTTAAAATTTTGAGTGAACATTTGTAATGTTAGTGTTTATTGAATGGCTGTTAGACTAAATCATTTGACAATCGTCAATTATTTTTAAAAATTAGAATAAACTAGCTTATGTGATGGTTGGATTGCTAGATTAATTTGATTAAATTATTCACTTACATTAAAAAAATGGAGAATAATATAGCTTAAGTGATTGCTAGATTGATTTGGTAAAATTAGTCACTTACATAAAAAAAAAATGGAAAATATTCTAGCTTAAGGGATGGTTGGATTGTTAGATTAATTTGGTCAAATTATTCACTTATTAAAAAAAATGTGAGAATAATCTGGCTTTAGCAATGATTAAATATAAACAATAAGTGTACATTGAGAATAATCAAGCTTTAGCAATGATAAAATATTAACAAGAACTGTACATTAATAAAAAGGAGAATAATCAAGCTTTAGCAATGATAAAATATAAACAAGAACTGTCCTCTGGTTTAGGTGTGTCAGGTCTGGCTACAGAAGTGGAGATCAGCCTGGGGGAAATAAAACAAATGATTGAAGATGACAATGAGAAAACTGAGCAGTTTGAGGTAGGTTTGTTCAGACGTAGGCATTCATCAGGCAGGGTTACAACCTGTTTGATGTCATGTTTTACTGTGGATTTTTGTTTTGTATATTTTTTTAGTTTAAAAACTCATACTTTAGTATGGTTTTCTTGCAGTGATTAGAAATGTAGAATTTTATTATTTAAATTTGTTGTTTTTAGCAAATATTTGTCTGAGGTGTAGGTGAAGTAGAGCTGATCTGTTTTTATGATGACAATGAGGAGTTTTGTCAACATTTTAAAACTGTAACTTCTTGTAAATGACAGAAACAGTTGCAAGTATTTGTCTGAGGTTTAGGTGATGAAGTAGAGCTGATCTGTTTTGGTGTGTGATGACAATGAGGAATTTGGTCAAAGTTTTAAAACTGTATCCCTTTGTCAATGACAGAAACAGTATGGCAAGAAAAACCCCAGCTCTGTTCTGCCGAGTCTTGCGGAAGAAACGGCCAACTATCAGAAACAACATGAGGACGGGAGCCAGCTGAACGCAACACTTCACAAAGCTATGAACACGCACATCAACAACTTGAAGATACTGGTGCAGTCCCCTGCTGAGATTCAAGCCCTTCTGCCACCATCTAACCCTACTCTATGTGAGTTTTTGATTGTTTGTTTCGTATCGTTACAAGAACTGAAAGCAGATGACTTTTTAGAAATTTCATTTTAAGCCTGAGATAGTGACTATTGTTTTAGGTTGTAGTTATGTTTTGATGTGTATATATTAGCACCATTGATTCTAGTGAATAAAATTTAATATTTTTGTGGCTGACCGTATGAATAAGAAATTTAATAAAAGAAAAAAATCATGATTTTCACAATAACTTTTCCATAGAAGTTACATCAATTTTATAATTTTTAATTGCTTATGATCCCATTTAAGTTGATTCAATGTGTAACGAACAATAATAAAATATAACGAGCTATTTAATATTTGAAATTCAGTTTTAAAATGTGATTTTTTTTTTTTTTAAAAAAAAACTCTTGAGAATTTTATCACTTTTTATTTTTTCTCAATCAAAAAGGACTTAAGTTTATTTCTTTAAAATAAATTTCCACTAGATTATAATATTTTAAAATTAGTACATACTTTAGAAGCATTTTAAAACCCTGTATGAAATTTTAGTAATTTTTATTTATTTGAGTGTTCCCATGTAAAAATAATAGCATTTATGATAATTTCTCTTGAATTGTTCACTATTTTATTTTTATCATTACCTTCCTGGTTATTTTTTTAAAATAGCATTTCTTGATACATCTCCTATTTAAACATGTTGATTTCTGTGTTCTCAGCTGTCGAAGATGAAGCCATCGTGAGTGAAATACGTCGCCTGCTGCAGAAGGTGAATGACATGAAGGAACAGAGGAAGACACTGCTCCACCAGTTCAGGGAGAAGATTCACACGGATGACATCACACATGTGCTGGTCACACAGGAAGTCACAGATAAGGCTGTGAGTTTTGACAGCTCATTATTTTTTTACGCATTCAGTTGTGACAGCTAATTATTTTAGTCATTCATTTCTGACAGCTAATTTTTTTACTCATTCATACAGCTTATTTTTTAATTAATTAAAGTCTGACAAGTAATTTTACTTATTCAGCTCTTACAGCTAATTTTTTAACTCATTCAGTTCTTCTTTGTTCTTAATTATAAAAATTGGAAGTGATTCCCTATTGAAGGGGGTTCATTGCAACACAATTAAATACGTCAAAAATGTTACATGAAATACGGAACATTTACTTTAACTTCAGCTTTTTTTTTCTGGATTTCATTGAGTTCTTACAGTTTATTTTTCATTTAGTTATTATCTCTAATTTTTTTATTCATTCACTTATAATACTTATTTTTTTATTCATTCAGTGGTAATATTTAATTTTTTTAAAAAGCACCTATAGTATCTAAATTTTAATTTATTCAGTTCTAATTCCTTATTTTTATTACATTCAGTTATGACAACAAATTTCTTTCAGTTATTGCACTTAATTTAACGCAATTACAAAGATTTTAATGTAATTACAAAGATGTTAATGTAATTACAAAGATTTGTATGTGCTTACAAAGATTTTTATGTAATTAAAAAGATTTTAATGTGATAACAAATATTGTTATTACAAAGACACAAAAAGCACTGACGGCTGTTGTAGATTGTGCTGTTGTTTTGTTGCAGGCTGTGTTCAAGGAACAGCTGAAGAAGCACGACCAGGTGGTGGGCTACATCAGACAGAACCTGATGGCACAAGACAACATTCTGCGTCACCTGACAGACACACATGCCAAGTTTGCTACAATACGCCAGGCTTTTAATGATGCCTCCACCAGGTGAGTTTTCAGTTGCTGGCGAGTTTCGACGATTATGTTTTGATGTTGTTTGATGGTCAAGTTTTGACATGGTTGAGTTTTTGATGTTACTGTTTTGGTTATTAGTTTTTGATGTTTAGGTTTGGGCTATCAGGTTTTGATGTTTAGGTTTGGGCTATCAGTTTTTGATGTTTAGGTTTGGGCTATCAGTTTTTGATGTTTAGGTTTTTAATGATTAGGTTTGACTATGTCAGTTTTTGATGTTAAGGTTTTGAAACAGTTTTTAATGTTAAGTATTTGATGTTAATGTTTTGACATAGTTTTTTGACATTCAGGTTATGACCCTGTTAGTTTTTGCCATGTTGTTGTTAGGTTGAACAAACTGCTAACTCTAGCTCATTTTTATACTGCTTATACTTGCATGATTGTATAGCATTTAATTAGTGACAGGCTCTATATCCTGCTGCTTGTACTGTGTTAGTTATTGTCAGGGTTGTCAGGATTTTAGTATTGACAGGGTTAACTTAGTGTTATTAGCAGTTTTTAATCAATTTTCATTATTCATATTGGCAAGTTTTAATGTTTAAAACTTTTGGGGCATAGAGACACAATAACATTGATATTTCTCCATTGTAGTGTTGGGCAATTCCTCTAGTGCTTGTCTGAAGATGTTGATAATTGGTATTCTCCAGCTTAAACTAGCACAAGTGTTAAAATGGTCTGTTGTATGTTGTTTCTTTGCTTAGGAGGGAGAAGATGGTCCAGGACTTGATTTTGTCTTATGAGAAGTACCAGGACCTACTGGCCAAGGCTGACAAAGGGGTGGAGTACTACAAGAAGCTGCTGGACAATGTCTCCAGGACACTGGAGCGCTGCGGCAGTGAGTGTAAGGTGCGGCAGGAGGAGAGGGACATGCTGCTCACTAAGTTCATGCCTAAAGGTGAGGGTGTGGCTGTCATGGTCTGTAGGTAAATGTGGTGAGGGTGTGGCTGTCATGGTCTGTAGGTAAATGTGGTGAGGGTGTGGCTGTCATGGTCTGTAGGTAAATGTGGTGAGGGTGTGGCTGTCATGGTCTGTAGGTAAATGTGGTGAGGGTGTGGCTGTCATGGTCTGTAGGTAAATGTGGTGAGGGTGTGGCTGTCATGGTCTGTAGGTAAATGTGGTGAGGGTGTGGCTGTCATGGTCTGTAGGTAAATGTGGTGAGGGTGTGGCTGTCATGGTCTGTAGGTAAATGTGGTGAGGGTGTGGCTGTCATGGTCTGTAGGTAAATGTGGTGAGGGTGTGGCTGTCATGGTCTGTAGGTAAATGTGGTGAGGGTGTGGCTGTCATGGTCTGTAGGTAAATGTGGTGAGGGTGTGGCTGTCATGGTCTGTAGGTAAATGTGGTGAGGGTGTGGCTGTCATGGTCTGTAGGTAAATGTGGTGAGGGTGTGGCTGTCATGGTCTGTAGGTAAATGTGGTGAGGGTGTGGCTGTCATGGTCTGTAGGTAAATGTGGTGAGGGTGTGGCTGTCATGGTCTGTAGGTAAATGTGGTGAGGGTGTGGCTGTCATGGTCTGTAGGTAAATGTGGTGAGGGTGTGGCTGTCTTGGTCTGTAGGTAAATGTGGTGAGAGTGTGGCTGTCATGGTCTGTAGGTAAATGTGGTGAGGGTGTGGCTGTCATGGTCTGTAGGTAAATGTGGTGAGGGTGTGGCTGTCATGGTCTGTAGGTAAATGTGGTGAGGGTGTGGCTGTCATGGTCTGTAGGTAAATGTGGTGAGGGTGTGGCTGTCTTGGTCTGTAGGTAAATGTGGTGAGGGTGTGGTTAGTTCTTTATGTGATGGGAGCACGGCAGGCTCTGTTTATGGTGAGAACATGGCTGTCAATGTATGAAAGTAAATGTGGTAATGGTGTGGCTGTCACTGTGTGGTGAGGGTGTGGCTGTTTGTTGTGAGGGTGTGGCTGTTTGTTGTGAGGGTGTGGCTGTTTGTGGTGAGGGTGTGGCTGTTTGTTGTGAGGGTGTGGCTGTTTGTGGTGAGGGTGTGGCTGTTTGTGGTGAGGGTGTGGCTGTAACAGTCTGAAAGTTGATGTGTTAATGGCGTGGCTGTTATTATTTAAAAGCAACTGTGGTGAGAGTTAGGGTTGAGTTACTTTGACAGATGCACCTTGCTGTTGTGTTGTTAAAGTGAAAGTTTGTAGCTGCTATGTTGTGTACTCTAATGTTTAATTTGTGTTAGAGGAAGTAGGGTATCTGTTTAATTAAGAAGATTGTAGAGCTCACACAAGACAGCCATTTTTCTAACCCTGCCTTGATACTCTTCTGTTGATGAACAGTTAGCTTCTGAGACTCCATTACAACAAATGTGATGGTTTTTATGTATATTTCTAAATGCTCCCACAAATAGAACTGTGTCTTTAGTATATTTCTGAATGTTCCTCGATATTTTTTGTTTTTGGAGAAAATTCAGAGCTTTTAGATCAGCTGCCATTATTTGACTAATCATAAGTTATCTTTTATTTTGTTTCTGATTACTAAGTTGTATACCAAAGTTGTGTTACATATTTCTCATGTTCAATTCCTCTACTAGTTTGATAATTGTAGCTGAGATTGTTTTATAACCTGAATGTGTTTTGGTTCCTAACACTGTGTCATTTAACCCACTAAGTAATTCTGTGGTAAATAAATATTTTTTTTATCCTACTTCGCCAGCTCCACCACCATCCAGACCCCTGGCCCCTAAACCTGGGTCCAGCAACGCCGGGACACCATCCACCCCCTTGAACCCTGACCCGGGTCTAGCAGACCCCAGCTTCTACAGCCTGCCTGACCCCGGTGACCTGACCAACCCAATCAACTCTACTCCCCCTGCAGCCCTCCACAGCTTGCCAGCCAGCTTTGACGGGCCCAAGCTGAAGGATTACCTCCCATTCATGAAAGCCAGGAGCTTCGGCCCCAAGCCTGCCGCCATGCCTCAGAAAGACCTGGGCCCCGGCTCCCCCGGGGTGTACTCCAACATGCCCCCCTTCACCCCCCTGGACAACCCTGAACCACAGAGGTTCCCCGGCCTTGACCCCAGCCTGGCCTCCGTGTTACCTGCCACGCTGGCCCAGTACCTGGCCACCATGTCAGCTGGTGCCGTATCCATCGCTGGCGGGGCTCGGCCTTCACACCAAGGTCAAGGTCACAGCTCACCAAGACATTCCCCAGCACCGAACGCCAACTCTGAGGTGCCCTCTGTCAACCAGAGCTACCCGGCAACGCCGCTGACCCAAAACTACCCACTGCCCACGTCAGCACCAGGCCAGTACAACTCTTCACAGATATACCAGCACAACGGCCACATGTCTGGGGGGAATCTGCAGAAATTTGACGGCATGAATGTCGTATCCTCCGCCAACCGGCCCATTTTATCGTCCGGAGCAGATCCTGTGCACCAGCAGGCACCACATGCTCAGCAGTTCCAGATGCCTGCGGTGTCCATTGGTCAGCTCCCCCAGCAGTTCAAGCCATCGCAGGCCCCCATGGGGTCTGGGCCGCCCCAGCAGTGGCCCCAGAACAACGGTGACCCAGCGAGCTTTCCCTCCCAGGGCCAGTTCTCTGCCCATCAGAGCCAGATGCCGACCAGCCAGAACCAGATTCCCTCTGGTCAGTCATCCATGACCAACACGCCTACACATTCGTTCGGGTATACTGGCCAGTTTAACGGAAGGTCCAACGGACAGCAGGTCAACAATCCTTACGGCCAACCTCAACCGCTGGCCGCACAAGGTCAAAGCCAGTTCCCATCCGGACAGCAACAAAACTATTCCAATCCAGGTCAGAGTGGTTTCATGGGGTCAGACCCCCATCTGTACCCCTCCCAGCAAATGGGATCAGCTTATCCACCAATGTCAAGCGCTAACCAACCAAACGTAAACCAAACCAACTCCCCTCACCAAAGTCCATCTCGGAACCTCCGCAATGACGCCAGCAAGCCGGAGAGCGGCGTAGGAAACAGCTATGTCAGGGACGAGGGTCAAGGACCCTCTGACGTCAGCCAGCAGTGGCAAGCGCAGACGACCGTCCACCAACAGGCCAACTACCAGGGGGGCTACCAGCACAGCGTGGACAAGAGCTACCAGACAGCGCAATCCTCGGGGGGTACCTTCACCTCTACGGCTCTTGTGTACGGGCAGACGAGCCAGCCCATATCCACCCAGTCCTACGGCTTGTCCAACCCATCTACGGTCAGTGTCCAGACATACGGTCAAGTCACTCCATTACCCATGCCTGTGTCTACAGTCAGCATACAGACGTATGGGCAGGGGAATCAGTTACCCATGCAGTTGAATAAAGGACAGGCTCAGTTTGTTCCTGGTCCGGTGGCATTTCAGCCAGGGTTAGTTCCTCAGAATGTGGGGGTTCCTAGCCAAGGCCCTCAGGGTCAGCAGTTGGGCCCTGTCCCCCAGCAGACAGGAGCCCTACCACAGCAGACCGGAGCCCTGCCACATCAGCTAGTCCCTCAGTCCCAGCACCCAGCTTCTCAGTTCCCTGCACAACATCCTCAACAACAAATTCACCAACAACAGCAGCTTCCACAGCAACAGCCACAACTGCAACAACTTCATCCCCAACAGCCTCAAGCACTTCCACAGCAACAACCTCAACAACTTCATCAACATCCTCAACCACAACCTCAGCAACAACCTAGTATTCAGTATCAGCAACCAATGCAGATACCAGGACCATACCAACAAACTGGATCACTACAAATGGGCCCCCAGCCTCAGCATTTTGGTCCACAACAATTAGGTCAGCAACAACTGGGTCAGCAACAACTAGGTCAGCAACAATTAGGTCAGCAACAACTGGGTCAGCAACAATTAGGTCAGCAACAACTGGGTCAGCAACAACTAGGTCAGCAACAATTAGGTCAGCAACAGCTAGGCTCACAACAGATAGGTCCACAACAGTTTGGTCCACAACAATTAGGTCCGCAACAATTAGGTCCACAACAATTAGGTCAGCAACAACTAGGTCAGCAACAGCTTGGTCCACAAAAACTAGGCCCACAACCCCATAATCACCAACCAGGCCTTCAACCCCATCACGGCCAAAATCAATCAGGATCACAACCCCAACCATTCAACCCCCAACAACCAACCCCCTACCAACAACCCCCACAACCCTCTGGTCCACAGCCTCACCAACTACCCTTGGCCCAGCAGCCTGCCCCAGACCACCCAACCCTGTATCAAAGCCACCCCGCCCCGCCCAACTCTTACAACCAACCCCAGCTTCAAGGCAACCTACAGCAGGTTGGACCCAACCCCATGGCCAACCAGTCTTTCCCAGGTCAGAGCCTGACCACTGGGCAGCCACAACATTATCCGCAATCTCACCTGGGGTTTCATCAGCCGCCACCCAACAACCCAGCGCAGGTGTTTCAGCCAGGGCCCCAGCTGCAACCCCAGCTGCTGCAGCCGCAGGGTCCCTACAGCTCCCAGCCTCCAGCTTCTAGTCACCAGCTCAATGTAAGTATTTTGTTATAGGTGTAAGATCACTTACACATTGTAAGTACTCAGTTTGTTATAGGTGTCAGATCACTTACACATTGTAAGTACTTAGTTTGTTATAGGTGTAAGATCACTTACACATTGTAAGTACTTAGTTTGTTATAGGTGTCAGATCACTTACACATTGTAAGTACTCAGTTTGTTATAGGTGTCAGATCACTTACACATTGTAAGTACTTAGTTTGTTATAGGTGTAAGATCACTTACACATTGTAAGTACTTAGTTTGTTATAGGTGTAAGATCACTTACACATTGTAAGTACTCTGTTGTAGATGTAAGATCACTTACACATTGTAAGTACTCTGTTTGTTATAGGTGTAAGATCACTTACACATTGTAAGTACTCTGTTGTAGATGTAAGATCACTTACACATTGTAAGTACTCTGTTGTAGATGTAAGATCACTTACACATTGTAAGTACTCTGTTGTAGATGTAAGATCACTAACTCAAAGTAACTACTCAGCTGGTTTGTTGTAGGTGTAAGATCACTTACATATTGTAAGTACAGTTTGTTATAGGTGTGATATCACTAATTATCTGTGGATATACATTGGTTGTTATGTATGTATAACATGGCTAACTAAATGGACACATTGGTTGTTATATGTATAACATTGCTAACCAAATAAAGGACACATATTTTGGTTTTTGTTAGTTACTAGATCACTGTAAATATATGGGATGACATGGCCTAGCGTTAGGGCGCTAGACTGCTAACCCGAAAGTCTTGAGTTCAAATCCTGGTTCAAATCAGTTGAATGTCCTAGAGTCCATCCAGCTCTGATGAGTACTCGTTAGGAAACTATGGCAGCTGGGCATAGTACTGACCACACTATCCCTTCAAATGCCAAGGTCATTGAAACATATGAACTCCACTTCAACCCATGTGCCTTGGGAACAAACAGGAAAAAATTATGATGAACTGTAAATGTTGATACACATTTGGTTTGTAGACACAAATTGTATTTTTTTTATAGTTACTGTATCACTAACTAAATGTAGATGGATATTTGGTCATTCTAGATATAACATCACTAACCCAATGATGATTTGGTTTGATTTTGTTATTGAAAAACATTTTAAATTTATGATCCTCTTTTTAAAACTTGCCACCTTATTGTATCTTTCTGGTTTGATTTTTGTACCTGAGTTTTGTTATGATTCCTCCCTTTGTACCTGAGTTTTGTTCTGATTCCTCCCTTTGTACCTGAGTTTTGTTCTGATTCCTCCCTTTGTACCTGAGTTTTGTTCTGATTCCTCCCTTTGTACCAGAGTTTTGTTCTGATTCCTCCCTTTGTACCTGAGTTTTGTTCTGATTCCTCCCTTTGTACCTGAGTTTTGTTATGATTCCTTCCTTTGTACCTGAGTTTTGTTCTGATTCCTCCCTTTGTACCTGAGTTTTGTTCTGATTCCTCCCTTTGTACCAGAGTTTTGTTCTGATTCCTCCCTTTGTACCTGAGTTTTGTTCTGATTCCTCCCTTTGTACCTGAGTTTTGTTCTGATTCCTCCCTTTGTACCTGAGTTTTGTTCTGATTCCTCCCTTTGTACCTGTTTTGTTCTGATTCCTCCCTTTGTACCTGAGTTTTGTTCTGATTCCTCCCCCTCCGCTCCACCCTGCAGGTGTCAAATACTCCAGTGCCACCTGTCATCCACCAGTCCATGGGAGGGATCCAGGTGCCACTCCAGCCAATCAATGCTGCTAGTCCAATGAGGACAGGGACACCTAGTCAAGGTACAGAATTACTTAACTTCATTATCTCTAATTAATGAACTATTTCCTTAAGTTTTGCATTGAAAATGTTTTTATGTTCCTTGATTCTTTGCATTTTTTATTTGTTTTTTATTATATTTTTTTTTGCAAATTTTAGAATTTAAAAATATTCACATTTGAACTAATTTTCTTCATAACAAAATCTGTACTCAAAAATACAATTTTTGGACAGACTGCCGAAGTGAGTTTGTACATCTATGTTATATTATAAACATGATATCAGTTGTTTTGTTTCTATAAAACAGTTTTTAATTATTTCTTTGTTAAAAAGAGGTATTTTTTTTTATTCACATCATTTTTAAATGAATATAGTTTTTTCTAAGTGTGGTCTCAAAGTATGGAAGTTGAATGTTAATTTAACGTTTTTTTTTGTCCATTGAAATTGTAGTTTTATCAAGACCTCCAACCCCTGCTAGTCAAGTCTCCAACAATGCCCCGGCCACCCCGCCTTCACCCAGCAACAGCAAGATGTCCATCTCTAGGCAGAGCTCATCACTAGATGACATTCTTTCATCCAGCCCCAATGGTATGGACCTAATTAATCTCTTTCATCTAGTCCCAATGGTATGGACCTAATTAAATCTCATTCATCTAGTCCCAATGGTATGGACCTAATAAAATCTTATTCATGAATATGTAAATGACACACCTATCATATTCTGAAGTCCCCAGTTGTGTACCATCATCACTTCACCTAAAAATGTCCCATGACCACACCGTTCATGAATGTTTAAATGACACACCTATTCTGATCACCCCCACCTAAAAAAGTCCCATAACCACACCATTAACCTGTAAATGACACACCTATTCTGATCACCCCCACCTAAAAAAGTCCCATAACCACACCATTAACCTGTAAATGACACACCTATTCTGATCACCCCCACCTAAAAAAGTCCCATAACCACACCATTAACCTGTAAATGACACACCTATTCTGATCACCCCCACCTAAAAAAGTCCCATAACCACACCATTAACCTGTAAATGACACACCTATTCTGATCACCCCCACCTAAAAAAGTCCCATAACCACACCATTAACCTGTAAATGACACACCTATTCTGATCACCCCCACCTAAAAAAGTCCCATAACCACACCATTAACCTGTAAATGACACACCTATTCTGATCACCCCCACCTAAAAAAGTCCCATAACCACACCATTAACCTGTAAATGACACACCTATTCTGATCACCCCCACCTAAAAAAGTCCCATAACCACACCATTAACCTGTAAATGACACACCTATTCTGATCACCCCCACCTAAAAAAGTCCCATAACCACACCATTAACCTGTAAATGACACACCTATTCTGATCACCCCCACCTAAAAAAGTCCCATAACCACACCATTAACCTGTAAATGACACACCTATTCTGATCACCCCCACCTAAAAAAGTCCCATAACCACACCATTAACCTGTAAATGACACTCCTATTCTGATCATCACCCCCACCTAAAAAAGTCCCATAACCCCACCATTAACCTGTAAATGGCACACCTATGATACTCTGAAGACCCCAGGTGTGAAAGATAGCATCATCACCCCATCTAAAAATGTCCCATGACCCCACCATTAACCTGTAAATGACACACCTATTCTGATGACCCCCAGGGTAAAAGATAGCATCATCACCCCACCTAAAAATGTCCCATAACCACACCATTAACCTGTAAATGACACACCTATTCTGATCACCCCCACCTAAAAAAGTCCCATAACCACACCATTAACCTGTAAATGACACTTATTCTGATGACCCCCAGGTGTTAAAGATAGCATCATCACCCCACCTAAAAAGTCCCATAACCACACCATTAACCTGTAAATGACACACCTATTCTGATGACCCCCAGGTGTAAAAGATAGCATCATCACCCCACCTAAAAATGTCCCATAACCCCACCATTAACCTGTAAATGACACACCTATTCTGATGACCCCCAGGTGTTAAAGATAGCATCATCACCCCACAAGTGCTAACAGACCAGGAGAGACAGCTACAGAAAGAGGAAGCCATTAAGAATCAGGTCATGACCCCCACAACCCAGCCCTACACCAGCCCAGGTGCCCTCAACAAGCTGCTATCTGATGTTGAAACTTTTGGCAAATTTGTTGACGACCTGTCCATCACAATACTGGGGGTCTCAAGGCTGGATAATGTTTGGAAGGTAACTGTTAACCCTTGAATGTCTGTGATAGAAGGTAACTTTGTTAACCCTTGAATATCTATGATAGAAGGTAACTTTGTTAACCCTTGAATATCTATGATAGAAGGTAACTTTGTTAACCCTTGAATGTCTGTGATAGAAGGTAACTTTGTTAACCCTTGAATATCTATGATAGAAGGTAACTTTGTTAACCCTTGAATGTCTGTGATAGAAGGTAACTTTGTACTTAACCCTTGAATGTCTGTGATAGAAGGTAACTTTGTTAACCCTTGAATGTCTGTGATAGAAGGTAACTTTGTTAACCCTTGAATCTCTAAGATAGAGCTCACTCTACTTAACCCTTTAATGTTAACAAAATAGGTAGCTTTTTTACACTTGAATATCTATGATAGAAGGTAACTTTACTTAACCCTTGAATATCTGCGATAGCATGTAGCTTTACTTAAACCTTGAATGTCAACAATATAGCTAACTTTGCTTAACCCCTGAATGTCTACGATAGTAGGTAATTTAACTTAACCCTTGAATCCATGAATGTCTAGGATAGAAAGTAACTCTTTAACCTTTGAATGAGAAAGTAACTTTATTTAGCCTCTGACTGCCTACTATATTTTACTCCTTTAAATGTCCATAGTGGGAGGTTGGGAGGTTACTTCACTTAACCTTTGACTGTCTAAAGTGGTATTGAACAATCCATGTCATATTTTATGTGTCAATTAGTCATGTAATTAAATGTAATTATGTAAATACCCTAGTCACATCTTGCCTGTAAGAAAGGTACTTGTCACATTAATTTGTCACTAAACGATGTGATTGTCACACATTTTGCAGAGCCTTCTTGACAGTCAAGACGCAGCCACCAAAAAACAATCCATGGCCATCGCTCGCTGTTACCCCATGAAAAACAGGGACCCTGACATTATGCCTTGTGAGTTTGGTACCAAATTTTTTTCTTTTAGAACTCATCCTTATTATCAAGAGATAATTGTTTAAGCTGTTCTTTGCAAACAAATTACTTCTACATTTGAAAAGGAATTTTTTTCATTAAATTTTATTTGAATAATTTGGATTATAAAAACAAGTTTAATTACTATATTAATGATTCAAAATTATTCCTGGTTGGTCTTAATTAATATGTTACAAAAACTAAATGTAATTTTTTTTTTTCCATCCAGAAATTTCTATTAAAAAAATGAATAGTCAAATTGTAGGTAAAACTTAAAATTACATTAGTAACTTAATAAAATGTAATTTTTTTTAAACCCTGTTCTAGATGATGATACAAGAGTTATACTCACCACAACCAAGGATGATTACATTAATGCAAGTTGGCTCAATGTAAGTCATATATATGGTTTTAGTAGATTTCTTAGTGTAAGTTATCAATTAGTTTTCATAAAAAGTAAATCATTTTTCAGATTTGTGTTTTATGTAATTTAATAATATGTTGATAGTTTGAATGATTGTTGACAATGTTTAGTATGTTTCTAGTTCAAAGTTAATGTTTTTTTTAGTAGTAAACAAAATAATGACATGATTGATTATATGTGAATGAACTGTTTGTATTTTACTGATGAATTTTACAATTTTAGTAATTTAAAAAGAAATTGTTCAGTGTTTCTTAATAAATTTGGTATAAAAAGTGGTAAATAATTTTTTAAGATTTAAATATCTTATTTACTCTATTGGAGAATACCAGTGTTTCACATAGTTATTTCTTCCAGTCCTCTGTACTGTAAACAACATAATCAGCAACCAGACTTTCCAATTTTTCTGTATTCTTTAGTCACCAATATGATTAGTTAGTAACTAGTTTTTCTGTATTCTCTATTTTTAACAATATCTACCATATTTTACTATAATTTTTAGGACCTGGCGCCATCTTGTCCCAAGTTCATCACCACCCAGTCCCCCATGTCCTTGACCATGGGTGAGTTCTGGGCCATGGTCTACGAGCAGGGGTCAGAGGTTCTGGTACAGATAACAAGTGAATATGAGACTGGCAAGGTGAGTGAATATTTGGTGAGGGGCTGTGTGGGGGGGGGGGGGGGCATGGTCTACGAGCAGGGGTCAGAGGTTCTGGTACAGATAACAAGTGAATATGAGACTGGCAAGGTGAGTGAATATTTGGGGAGGGGGGGGGGGCAGTGTGGGAGTCTATGAGCAGGGGTCAGAGGTTCTGGTACAGATAACAAGTGAATATGAGACTGGCAAGGTGAGTGAATATTTGGTGGGGGGGGGGCATGGTCTACGAGCAGGGGTCAGAGGTTCTGGTACAGATAACAAGTGAATATGAGACTGGCAAGGTGAGTGAATATTTGGTGGGGGGGGGGCATGGTCTACGAGCAGGGGTCAGAGGTTCTGGTACAGATAACAAGTGAATATGAGACTGGCAAGGTGAGTGAATATTTGGTGGGGGGGGGGGGGGGGCATGGTCTACGAGCAGGGGTCAGAGGTTCTGGTACAGATAACAAGTGAATATGAGACTGGCAAGGTCAGTGAATATTTGGTGGGGGGGGGGGGGCATGGTCTACGAGCAGGGGTCAGAGGTTCTGGTACAGATAACAAGTGAATATGAGACTGGCAAGGTCAGTGAATATTTGGTGGGGGGGGGGGGGGCATGGTCTACGAGCAGGGGTCAGAGGTTCTGGTACAGATAACAAGTGAATATGAGACTGGCAAGGTGAGTGAATATTTGGTGGGGGGGGGGGGGGGGGGCATGGTCTACGAGCAGGGGTCAGAGGTTCTGGTACAGATAACAAGTGAATATGAGACTGGCAAGGTGAGTGAATATTTGGGGAGGGGCTGTGTGGGGGGGGGGCATGGTCTACGAGCAGGGGTCAGAGGTTCTGGTACAGATAACAAGTGAATATGAGACTGGCAAGGTGAGTGAATATTTGGGGAGGGGCTGTGTGGGGGGGGGGGGGGGGGCATGGTCTACGAGCAGGGGTCAGAGGTTCTGGTACAGATAACAAGTGAATATGAGACTGGCAAGGTGAGTGAATATTTGGGGAGGGGCTGTGTGGGGGGGGGGGGGGGGGGGGCATGGTCTACGAGCAGGGGTCAGAGGTTCTGGTACAGATAACAAGTGAATATGAGACTGGCAAGGTGAGTAAATATTTGGGGAGGGGCTGTGTGGGGGGGGGGGGCATGGTCTACGAGCAGGGGTCAGAGGTTCTGGTACAGATAACAAGTGAATATGAGACTGGCAAGGTGAGTGAATATTTGGGTAGGGGCTGTGGGGGGGGGGGGGGGGGGGCATGGTCTACGAGCAGGGGTCAGAGGTTCTGGTACAGATAACAAGTGAATATGAGACTGGCAAGGTGAGTGAATATTTGGTGGGGGGGGGCATGGTCTACGAGCAGGGGTCAGAGGTTCTGGTACAGATAACAAGTGAATATGAGACTGGCAAGGTCAGTGAATATTTGGTGGGGGGGGGGGGGGCATGGTCTACGAGCAGGGGTCAGAGGTTCTGGTACAGATAACAAGTGAATATGAGACTGGCAAGGTGAGTAAATATTTGGGGAGGGGCTGTGTGGGGGGGGGGGGGGCATGGTCTACGAGCAGGGGTCAGAGGTTCTGGTACAGATAACAAGTGAATATCAGACTGGCAAGGTGAGTGAATATTTGGGGAGGGGCTGTGTGGGGGGGGGGGGCATGGTCTACGAGCAGGGGTCAGAGGTTCTGGTACAGATAACAAGTGAATATGAGACTGGCAAGGTCAGTGAATATTTGGGGAGGGGTTATGTGGGGGGGGGGGGGGGGGGCATGGTCTACGAGCAGGGGTCAGAGGTTCTGGTACAGATAACAAGTGAATATGAGACTGGCAAGGTGAGTGAATATTTGGTGGGGGGGGGGGCATGGTCTACGAGCAGGGGTCGGAGGTCCTGGTACAGATAACAAGTGAATATGAGACTGGCAAGGTCAGTGAATATTTGGTGGTGGTGGGGGGGCCATGGTCTACGAGCAGGGGTCAGAGGTTCTGGTACAGATAACAAGTGAATATGAGACTGGCAAGGTGAGTAAATATTTGGGGAGGGGCTGTGTGGGGGGGGGGGGGGGGCATGGTCTACGAGCAGGGGTCAGAGGTTCTGGTACAGATAACAAGTGAATATCAGACTGGCAAGGTCAGTGAATATTTGGGGAGGGGCTGTGTGGGGGGGGGGGCATGGTCTACGAGCAGGGGTCAGAGGTTCTGGTACAGATAACAAGTGAATATGAGACTGGCAAGGTCAGTGAATATTTGGGGAGGGGCTGTGTGGGGGGGGGGCATGGTCTACGAGCAGGGGTCAGAGGTTCTGGTACAGATAACAAGTGAATATGAGACTGGCAAGGTCAGTGAATATTTGGGGAGGGGTTATGTGGGGGGGGGGCATGGTCTACGAGCAGGGGTCAGAGGTTCTGGTACAGATAACAAGTGAATATGAGACTGGCAAGGTCAGTGAATATTTGGGGAGGGGCTGTGGGGGGGGGGGGGGGGCATGGTCTACGAGCAGGGGTCAGAGGTTCTGGTACAGATAACAAGTGAATATGAGACTGGCAAGGTCAGGGAATATTTGGGGAGGGGCAGTGTGTGAGGGAGGATACTTAAATGAAGATATTTTAATTGAAGTTGACATGTTTGAAACTTTAAGCCTCACTCAATTCTGATGGGTAGAGATACACTAGTGGGCATAGTGCTGATCTCACAAACTCTTCAGCAACATTCCCTATAATGAGGAAAAGTTTGTGTGTATTTTGTATGATTGGTGTTCTAAAAGTCTTAAATACAGATATAAGTATTTTACAAAATGACTGCACAGGTTCAAAACTGCTTCGCTGCCATGCACCTTATAGAGAGTATTGCTCTTCATATCCTGAGGTTCATGTTTACCTGCTATATTGAAATAAATTAAACTGCTTTATTATGACAACCACTTAAAAACTGCAATTAACTAATTTATTATTTTAAAAAACAAAGTAATGTTAAAAGAAATTGTTCTACAGAAATTTCCTGTTTACTACCCTACTGAGAAAGATAAGAACTTTGAGCAGGGCATCATGTTGTTGTCCTTACAATCTGTCAAGTTCAGACAACATTGGGTGGAGAGAATTATTTACCTCAAAAATGCTCAGGTAAGTTTAATTGTATGTGTCCTTACAATCTGTCAAGTTCAGACAACATTGGGTGGAGAGAATTATTTACCTGAAGAATGCTCAGGTAAGTTTTATTGTATGTGTCCTTACAATCAGGCATGTTCATGTAAAAAAATAAATGGTATGCTAATTATTTTAAAAATAATGAAGTAAATATTTTAAAATGTAATTTTTTTTTTAGATGTTGTTTTAATCTGTATTGTTGATTTATTTTTTTTTTTTTTAATTTTCAGACCAAACAAGGAAGAACTTTGGTTCACTTACAGTTTAAAAACTGGCCAGTCAGGTAGGAATGTAACACAATATTTTATTTTTGCATGTTCAAGTTTCTATGTTTTACATTGTTGTTTGAAATAACAAAAAAACCTGATGTAAAATACATGTTTCAATTTTTTTATTTAGTGGGTTCCCAGAAGATATAGGAAGCATTGTACATTTTATCTCCGAAGTGCATAGTTTCTACCTCCAACAAAGAAGCCTTACAAAACCTATCATAGTGCATTGTGGGTAAGCTGGTTAATATGTTTTATATCTCTTACAATTTATAGGACAAATTTAAGACCAATGTTTTTCTGCTTTCATACTGAAATGAATGTGTTACTGTGTAACTTGTTTAAGCTATAGCATGTTTAAAAACTTTAATTTACACAATTATTCTTTGATTAAAATGATTAAAATTTGTTAAATTAAAAAATTCTAGGAATAATTTCAACAAAATAATTTTTCAAAAATCTCACAAAAATTAGAATAAAAAAATGCAATAAATAATGTGTCTTTTTAAGTATTCAGAACTATAATCTACAGTAAAATATATATTTGGAAAGTTATAATATTTTTATTTTAATTGAACAATTACAATTCTTCCCCAATGAAGATTTGGAACAGGAAGGACTGGTGTCTTTAGTCTAGTGTATGCGGCCATGCAAGAAATTCTGCATGGCAATGGCCTGATTGATCTACCAGGGCTGGCTAAGCGCATGCTACAGAAGCGTCGGGGCATCCTGCACAAGAAAGAACAGTTGAAGTGTTGCTACGACGCTGTGCTTTGTTTCGCTGAGGAATATCTGGAAAAACGTAAATAATTCTATTTATTTGTTTGGTGTTATTCTAATGTTAGATTTTCAAATCATAGAATTATAAAAATTGTTGTTTTTGCAATTCTATGGATTTCAAGCCAAAATTTAAAAATTTATATTATACACTTGATATAATTATTATTTAGGCTTTTGCATTTATTTCTTTACAAAAAAAAATGTACATACAGTTGCACTTTCCTACAAATATAATTTTATTAACCTAGGCCACAAAACAGTTAAGAATGGAAACAATGTTTCTGTGTTAGAAAGGTTTTTTTTTACTCTCAGTTATCCTAAATTAACGATTTTAACAATAAAAGCCCTAAAACTTCTTTTGTTTTTGGTACAAAGTAAAACACAAAAAGTGATTTTTAGGCATGCTTAGTTACAAAAATGACTAAAAAAATCAACTATGAAATTCTTAAAAAGTAATATAAAGTAATAGAACTACTCAAACAAAGCATTTTCATAATCGGCAATGCTTTATAAACAGCAGAATAAATTTAAGCTTTTTTTTTTTAACTTTTTATTTCCTTGTTGCTTGTAACTTATGGCCATTATATGAAATACTAATAAAATTCACTTTGATATAGCAATAATAACAAAAAGTTTTCTTACCTGTAGGTGGTGTATTGGTTAAGAACCCCCACTTCCTAAAGAAGCAGTTGACCCGTGGCTCTCCCAAACACCAGGCAATGACTCCGGCATCAGACGACATCGTCTTGGGTACAGTTGACCTGCAGACCATCCGGGAAAACGTCGGCAGGCTCCACATCCAGCCCAGCTACCCTGACCAGAAGGAGGAGCCCGCGGAGCCACTGAACCAGAACCTGAGCAAAAGATCTTTAGAGAGCCTGTCCTCCATTGGCAGTTTACCGGATGTTGTGCAGCAGTACGGGGACTCGCAGAATTCCGGACTGGGGGAAAGGTTAGGGAGCTGCAGTTACAGCAGTGATTTGTCCAGCATTGGGCTTCAGAGCCAGCAGTTCGACTCAGTTCTGGCGCCAGCCGGCTCACAGATTGAGCCCAGCTCTGGGCAGAAAAGTCTGGACAGTTCCAGCAGTTTGCCAGGCGGTAAGGCTGAGGTGCCAGGCCCACTTCCTGTGTCGCTGGCCCAGCTCCAGGACCCAGCGACCTTCACCATGGGGTCTCCAGACGCCAAGAAGAAGAACAAGATCACCAAAGCCAACTTCAGTCAGGCCCAGGGGTCTCTCCAGTCTGGGACGGCTGACCCCAGTGATCCCCTGGGCAGTTTAGACCCTCTCTGGACACTGTCCAAAAAGTAAAATCTACAATGTGTGAAAATAATTCAATAATAATGTGCCGTACATTGTATAAGTTTGACAAGAAATCTCCAGAAATCAACATTTTTATGGCCACCGTAAAAAAGTAGATATTGTTTGTTCTTGTAAAAATACAAATGGCATTAAGTATTGATAATTTATACTTTTGTTATTGTTTAACACTTACCTTAGTGGTCAATTTTTGTCTAGAGATAAAAGATGCAAATTGTATGCTATTGTAAGCCTTTGTCCTACAACTCTATACTATTATGTGTATTTGTAAGCAACAGTTGTACTGGAATTTTATCTAGGATACATATCATGAGTATTATAAATATTACTTAATGGTTTGACTCCAATATAATCTTGACAAAAAATATTTGACAGTCACAAATTTGTTTGAAACAAGCATTTTAATTCTTTATTTAAAAAAATATTACTGATTTAAACAATTATAAGATTAACCTGACAACTCATTATTTGTCCTTATACATAATTAAGTTACAGTGAATACAATCTTGCTTTGTTTTTATTTTATTTTTTATTATGAGCTTTATGAAATTCCGAAAAAAATATTTTCAGTGTAAAAAAAATCAGGCTATTTTATTTTTTGAGGGAATTGTGAAATAATTAACATACTCATTCCTAATCGTCTTTGCTGTTATAATTTCAGTTTACCATTCTGCCAGAAAAACTTGTTCGCAAAGCATTCCATAGCTCATTGCATTACATCAAATTTTATATTCTGTCTGGCAAATCACATTGCTCATTTCATTACATCAAAATTTTCATTGCATCTGGCAAATTACATTTCTCATTTCATTGCATCAAAATTTTCACTGCATCTTGAAAATCCCATTGCTCATATCATTGCATCAAATTTTTCATTGCCTCTGTCAATATCTCAAATATTTGTTACATCCCACATCACATTGAATCTGGCAACCCCAAATTTTAATCATTGGTTGTGTTAGTTGTTATAACATTACTAGTTTTTTTTTTTACTACTGTAAAATTAAAAACACATGTAAATATGATGGGTATTTTTTTTTTCCTGTTCTGACTCCAGCCTTGTGGATTCTGACCTATAAAATGTTAAAATCTTGTTTAGAATAATTGTGGTTATTTTGTCTTAACATTTATAACAGTCAGCAATGGATATATGATTGATAGATTCCTTTATTGAAATTGTGTTGACAAACCTGAAGAAAAAAAATGTATGTGTTGAATAATTCAGCCTAAAATCCATGTACAAAATTTTCAAAATCTCCCTTGATTATGTGGTAATAATATTTTTTTGTTAAAGTAATCCAAAAAATAGTTGGAGTATTATATATGATATTCTAATCAACACTCACGTTCTGTATTTTGTCTATTTAAAATGTATAATAGTTTACATTTTAAAACTGATTTCCATTGAAAAAGTCATGCAATACTCATTAATGCAACACAAGTAAAAATAAATCAGTGTTGTAGAACATGGCATAAGGTTTCTATAATCATTAAAAATGTCCCCTTTTTTATTCCTAGTAAAATGAAAAAATCCATTTATCACTTTTCAATATATTTAAATTGTAACTTTACTTGTAACTTTACTTTTTAGTCATCTAATGCACAGGTAGTTAGAGATTTCTACAATTCCCCAAAATGATTCTGAAATAATTTATGTCTACAGCTCTAATATGGTTAAGTATAAAATCCTTATCTGATGAATTATTGGCATTTAATTGAATAAAAGTTGCTTGTTGTAGTCATACTGTCCAGAACAGTTGGATATATTGCGTAAAATTAAGCTGTCTTGTAATATATGCTAATGATCTTAAGGGAAGATTACAGGTTGTGTTACCATAAAATAAGCAAGGGAAATCAGTCAGAATTTTTGTTAGAAAATGTATTAAATTTTGAGTTATTCTTTCCTTGAAATAAATAACCCAGGACAATTTGTGAAAATATTGCTACAGTAGTGGAAAACATAAATGATTTTTATTTTTTAAACATAAGAGTAAAAATATTTTGTTTTACAATTTTTTTTCCCTTTTAAGTGAATTAAAATTTACCATTTTGTTCTAAACTAATTATTGTATTTTTGAATCTGGCCCAAAACTATTTTTTTATGTAAACCAGTATAAGTAAGTAGAAGAATTTTGTTCAAAGAGTTCCAGTCTATTGAGTCATCCTATTAATCCAGAATTTGTTTCATTACAAACTGAAGTCTTTCAGCCAAATGACCAAGTATTTGCATCAACCTTTGTGGCTGTTTTTATGTATGTGTGAACAATATTTAAAATGTAATATCAAGTGTGTATTTAAAATGTAATATCAAGTTTGTATCGTATTAAACAAAATATTAACAGCTATAAGATTCATCGGTTTTGTAACTAAATGTTTAACGCACTAATTTTTTTTTTTTTACAATGAAGATTGAATCTATACTTTTTGTGCATTTTGACCTAACACCTGTTGTGTTTCTGTTAACTTGTTAGATATGTAACCAAAATTACTTCTGATGTGCAATAATTGGTGTCTAGGATTGATTCACAATGGTAGGGATTTCTTAGTGCAACCAATGCCTAAAGGGTTAAAAAAAAAATCAAATACATTTATGTATTTTCTACAAATATAGCATTTTTTTCAGTATAAAATAATTTTGTAACCCAGAAAAATGTCAAAGGGTCATCCAATATCCCACACTGTTTTAATTGGAAAATTTGGGTGAGGGAATTAGATGCCCAATTATTTAATACACTTGAAAATACTGTATTGGGATTTATGTAAAAGAAAATGTCTAATAAGGGACATAACCCACTTTTTTTCATAGTTCTCCAGAGCAAAGAGTAGTTCTGTTTTCATAACATTGAATGTGAAATTCTTATTTGTTTTTCTGTCACCTTGTAATTAAAAAAAATAATTTTGAAATGGTTTTGTTATTGTTTTCTGTAACTAGTTTTGAAGGACACATTTGAGTAATAATTAGGATAACATGTTCAAGTGATTCCAATGTTACAAACGCTAATGTGACATTTAAAATCATCTGTGTGTCTTGCCAAGGTGTTACTCTGTGCAAAGATGGGAAGTTTTGATAACACATTAATTGATAGATCCTAAAATCAAATACTTCACACACCCCCCTTGCCAATACACTTAAATCTTGAGATTCAGTATATACAAATAACAGTATACGCTGGTTTTGTTTTGGCTTTTGCTTCTGGGCAAGGCAATAAAAAAAAAAAAGTTGTTTCAGATCACTTCAAGGCTTTTCAATCTCTGGTTTCTGAGAACTGTTGACACAAAGTATTATGTTCACAAATTCTGTTTGTATTCAACTATTTGAACTTAAGATAATATTTTTTGAAAGAAAATCTTTTAAATGCTTGTAAGGTTGATTGATTTTTTTTGTTTATATTGCACATTTCTAAGGTTTCCATTAAAATTTAATTGTTTTGGTTTTTGCTGTACAATTAGATGTTTTTTGAATGGTATTTAAGTAAAAACTGATCAACTTAATTTTCCAGCTTAATATCACTCACACCAACTATTCTTAGTTGTGTTTTTTTTTTTTTAATCTTCCTTTTCTACATTTTCAAAAAAGTTTCTTTTTTGCATGCGTTATTTTCTTTATTTTCACAGGTTCTATTGTATTAACTTTACAGTAAAGTCTAAAATGTTAAGAAGTTTCACAATTGTAGAAGTGAATTGCTGTTTAGTAAAATTCTGGTAATTAGCCTAATGTTACTTTGAAGAATATTTTCATATGTTTGATAACGTAAATGGTGGGTCTAATGCATACTACACTTGACGTATTGCCTTTCCCTTCATATGTTTACGGTTCATTTTGTTCAATGTGAAAACAATAAAAAAGATAACAAAAATATGATTGTGTGGTTTTTTAACAAAAATATGATTGTGTGGTGTTTTAACAAAAATATGATTGTGTGGGGTTTTAACAAAAATATGATTGTGTGGGGTTTTAACAAAAATATGATTGTGTGATGTTTTTTATAAGCTTTTATTTTGTTTTCACAATGTCTGTTTAATTGTGGGGTTGTGGCTAACTTGTAACTTAATTTTAACCTACTTTTAACACAACAATCTCATTCATACTTCACAGATACATTCATTTGCTACAACTATGCATGAATATCAGCTTTTTTTAAACTGTTAGTAATTAAAGTTTAATTTAAAAATTACTAAATAATTTACTAAATTAAAAAATAAAAGGTTGATCACTCAATTAAATACTAGTGATCACTAACGCTGGATAGTAAACTTTTTGGTCACGGTTATCTGGTTTTTTGCCTTAGAGTTGCGCAGAAAATATTTTTAGTCATGTGCTGTCCATTTGGCAGTGAAAGAAAAGTAAAGAACGTAAATCATCTTTATCAATCATACTCTAAGACTGTTTGGATAAAAATTGTGATTATCATTTGTACTAACTGGTTGCAAAAGTAAATGTGACACATCTTATTTGTTGTCTCCATTGTTCACATTTATATTTTGTTCAAGGGAAACAACTTGTAAATAAAATGTTAAAGTAAAATGAGGTTCGATAACTAGGGACAGCAACCCTAAAATCCAACAACTGCTGCCTTGTTTGTTCTTGGTTGGACAAAACAAATTTAAATATTAAAGTGGTTTGAAATGGGAGTCAACGATATATATATATATATATATATATATATATATATACATATATATATATATATATATATATATATATATATATATATATATATATATATATATATATACATATATATATATATATATATACATATATATACATATACATATATATATATATACATATATATATATATATATATACATATATATATATATATATATACATATATATATATATATATATATATATATATTATATAGGCTAAGGCAAATATAAACCACTCATTGGGACTTTTAATGCTTTGTTCCACTAAAATAAAGCCTGGATTGTTAGGAATAGTTCTGCGCAAGACCCAATACTCTGTTTTGCGTAAATGTCGATGCTGGAATTCAGGTTCTCCTCAAGTGTGATTGGTCCAGTAGATATATATATATTCCATTATGAGCCAACTAATGAACGAAGATGTAATTGACAAGAGAAATTTCCATATACACACAAAAAAACTCAACACAAAAGATGTTATCATAGTTGTTATTTTGTTATAGTTCATCAATCACCACAAAAAAAATGTATTCTTAATGACAATAACTGATACAGAACAAGAAAAAAAAAATTAATACAACTGGCAATTGTTTTTTCTTCATTGTAACAGTCTTAAAGCAAAATTAGTACATCTCTGACTGGTGTCCTACTATAATTGGGCAAAACTATCCATAAGTATAGGCAACACTAGAGCACTATTAGGGAAATTATAATTATATACATTTATTTAATTATATAAAAACTATTGGTCTATTTTAGCATCTCTGAAACTTAAATGTACTCCATATTAAAATTTAGCATCTTACTCTGGGGAAAAGGTGATAAAGATATTTATGGTACAAGTTCTTAAACAAAATTTAACCATAGTCTTGTGGAAATGTCATTTGCAAAAATTTAACTTCAAGTATTTAGTCATAACCAAAAACCACCAAAAATTGAGCCCACAATTTTTTCAGCATTTTATCAATTAAAAAAATTTATGCCCAGGTAAAATGCAAATTTTAATACTAAAAAAAAATTTGATATAAAATAAATTTAGTATCATTAAAACCGATGGAACATTAGAATAGGAGTGTACAAACAGCATGCATAAGGATGGCATGTCTCAAGTTAGCTAACACAAACTTAACAAGCTTTAAAAACACCGGGAGTTTTTAATTAAAAAAAAACAACAAACGACAACATTAAACTTAAACTATAATTTTGTAGATTTGTTACAGCTTAACAGAAAAAATAAGATAAAACAATAAATCATAAGTAAGTTTTTCAATATGAAAGTGTTGAGAAATGTGTTTAAAAAGAATTTTTAAAAATGACGTAGTTTTCTTTTTCACATACAAATTTAATAGAAGCACAAATTTAACTTAAAATTCAGCTTTTTGATGTTAACAAATTCAATACTGAGATTATTTAATATTGCTTCCTTGCAAGTGGAAAATAAAATATAAAAACAGCAGTTGTCTAACTTTGCTTGCTCATTATTTTTTTTTAAATGTAAAAAAAAATTCAATTTTGTTTTACATGTTAAAAGTCTGACAAATAAAATGAAGGTTGGCACAGTGTTTTAAAACAAAGTATGGTTGACTCAAGACAACAACACATTTAAAGAAATTCAAAACATTTACTAAAATCCAAACGTCATAGACACTTGTTTAACAAGAATTTTAACATGCATATAGTTTAAACACCGGAATACACCCTTAACTAAACAGATACATTTCATAAATATAGTTCTGAACATGTGTATAGCAACTAGTCAAGATGTTGATAAATTTTAGAACACATTATATTCCTTAAGTGATAAGCTATAATAAATTAAGTAAATGAAATAATTAAGCACTTATAGAAGAAAAAAACATTTAATAATATTTCATAGAAATTTGTTTATGTATTAATATCATCTCAATAATTTGTTGAGCTTGAAGTTAGTAATGAAAAAGGCATGTTTGACACACAGTATGAAGGTGGTCTGATTAGAATAAAAAAAAATAATGGCAAAAAAATATGTAATAAAGTTTTAAAAAGCTTAGCAAAACATGTTTAAACATGTAAAAAGGATAACTGGTTGTTGGAAAGGTAGGGATGGGGGGCTGGTAAAATATGTATTGATGTAAAGATCATGTAAAGATCATCTGACACCGGAAATTGTACACCACTTTAGTTATATGTAGGACATAACACCATGATATGAACACCATTATGGCTATCATATCTGCTACAAGAGGCAAACACCACTTTTGTTGTATGTGTAATACATGACACCATGGTATAAACACCATTGTGGCTGTATCACATGCGACACCGGGAGAAAAAACCACTAGATCTGTATCATATTCTCAACAAGGCAATCACGGCAGACTAAAGGAAATGTTCAGGAGTTGTTTTTTTTTTAAAAAAAAAAACAATTTTTTTTTAAAGAAAAACAATTTTTTTTTGAAGAAACAATTATCAATAATAAAATTAAAATAATCATTCATCAGTGCTAAATATTCCAACTTTATAAAATAATTAACTTCATTTGATTATTTCTTTGACATGTTTTTTAAACTAGTACGTATATTAGGGTTTAACTGCATTTTGAAACCTCTGGCTTGATCAAAACATAGTATGAATACTCCAGTATTATTAAAAAAATTAACATATTGTACCCTAAAAATATGGACTATGATAATATGGACAGAAATGGCTGAGATTCCTCCAAACAAACACTAACTTAATAAACATGTACTAGCATTTGAACCTCAAGTACATAGCAACAATGGAAACAACAGTATAAATTCTGTTTTCTCTCTGCATTATTCAACATTTTTGACTGCTGTTGAAACAAAAACAAAACCACTAATGAAATAACATGTGTAAATAGCACAATTATTATCAATATACATATGAACAAGAAAATATGGCACTTTACTGAACAACAAAATATTTCAGGAACCCATTCAATGTTATAAACTGACTATAATAATAAAACATATTTTCTACTGTTAGGTTAAATTTCTAATTTTCTCACCTTAAAGCCATTTGTAAAGTCACTTTTTTTTATATATCGTGTAGCTTACAGATGATGAAAAATCTAACTACCATATATAATTTTTAACTTTTTTTTTTAATTTAACAAGGTGTAGAGAACCAGACATTGTAAATATAAAACAAAATTTAACATATGAGTTAAATTTCTGTGGTAAAAAAACTACTTTAACAATAGATGAAGGAATTATGATATACATAGGCTAAAGTTGTGTAGTAAAAAAATTATTTTAAAAATAGATGAAAAGGTTATCTTACACTTATATTTACACTTATAGCCGCGGCAACAAGTCAGCACAGAAAATGTTTTCCATGACTCAAAACAACAACATAAATGTACCCAAAAATTTGTACGCAACATTGAACTGTCTTTCTCCATACAAAAACATACATCTTGCACAAATATGACATATAATGAACAAATAATGTAAAGGAAATACAACATTCATAAATTTTAGAATTAAAATTTAGTCACAAGAGTCATTTTATCTTGGTACTCTTTCTTTCAATTTCACTATGAATTACCTCAATAAAAATTATGTATATGTCAGAATGTGAAAGAGAAGCAACGTTTCAACTGAAAAATAATCGTGATGTAGTTATTATGCTAGTTCTGATTGATTAAAGTAATGATTTTTAGGATTCTTCTCTTAATAAAGTTGTTCCTTCTTAACCTATATAATCAAAATCTTATGGTAAAATAATAATTAGGCTTCAAATTTTTTTCTAATAAATCAAATTATCATCTATCAAAAATTAATGTTTGAATAACATTTCTGTGATAAAAAATTTTGATTTTCTTAATCTCAATGCATAAAATAATAGGTATTTAAACTGTTTTTAAACTGTTACTAAAATGTAGTTTAACAGGCAAACATTGAGAGAAGGTGAGAATAAAACCTTATTTACCACATGTAATTTTGACTTGTTGAAATAATCACATTAACATTTTTTAAAAAGAAAATTCAACATTTTATTCACCAAACGTGGTGAAAGTTCTATTAAAAACAAATATTGGCAGAGCAAAAGATGTCTTTAAAAAATCAAATTAAAGGCATGGAAAGCTATGCGGCGAAGCATGAGGACAACAAATGTTTTAAAGCACTAGGACATTTAACAAGCTGTTTGTTTTTTTTTTAATGTATAAACCATATCTGTAAAACGAGTCCACTTGTTACGATGAGGAGTAGGACGCTGACGACGATGATGAGGGTGTTGACGAGGCGGAGTACGATGACAAGGACGACAGAGGATTGTCTAGGTCAAATATTTCTTTCAACAGCGGCATGACTTGGTGGAAGTCAGGCGTGGTGTCGAAGACATGCGCTCTCAGGTTCTCGCTGAACTGCTCCACTATTTGGCAAAGGTCAGGGACTGTCATCAGGACCTTGGCCAGAATAACCTGAAATGATTTCAAATTGATTGTTCATTATAGATGTTTTCTTTAAAAGTAAAATCATTTATTATAGATGTTTTGTTTAAAAATGCCATCATTCATTATAGTTGTTTCCTTTGCTATTTATTAAACTATTTATTAATGTGGTTTTTGTATAAAAAAGGTTCATGTACAAAAGAAGCTTTTTTTGGAAAATAAAATAAATCAAGGCAGATATACTGTTGTAAAATAGAATAATTTATTCTGATACTTAAAATATGTGAAAATATAAATTAATTTTTTAAGTAATGACCAATTTCAATTATTTTTAACTGACATTTTTAAATTGCTAGGTTTATGAAAAACAATTTTTATAGAACATTACTTCAGATTTTATCTTTAAAAAATGACAACATTAACTATGGAAAACCTGACATCTAAAGATGGATCAAAACCAACTGGATCAATAATAAAATTTACGGTACATTTTATCATATACATTTTTTTAAAAATGCAGCTGAAATTTATAAGTACCTTTTCTTTAGGGTGATTGTGTTTTAATTCTAATCGTAAGGCTTCAATAAGGTTGGCCTGCAGATCTTCAACTTGCTGAGGTGCCGACAAATTTGGGCAATCTGAAAGGGAAAATAGGGATTAAATGTTAATGTTAATTAATGTTTAGCAGGGTGGATTTGTTGTATATTGTATTACACTGTATAGTCCTTAGTGGTATATTTATTTTTAGAAACATTAAAGATGATTTGGAATAAATTCCATTTTTTTTAATAATATTCATAAAATTACAGATCATTTATAATGGTTCTCTCTTTTCCCTTTAATGTTCATAACATTTATATAAACTACAGAAAGCTTATTTAATACAAGGTCAAAGAAACAGGTGAAAACTACTACACCTGCCTAACAGCAGGATAACTTTCTTTTGTTTTTTACTTATTTATTATAATCCATTGTAATACTTTACTAAAATTTTATTATGCAACATAACTGAAAGCTGTTTGGATACTGACACCTATTTTAAAATTCTTACCTTGAGTGAGAAGAACAGCAGAAAAAAGGGCCAACTCTCCAGTCGTGAGACCAAACGCATGCACCCTGTCCATGACTGACATGGTGTGCCCTAACAACCGGGTCATCTGGTCGCAGATGTAGTAGGAATTTCTCCGGATGCGCAAACCACCTTCCTTCGTGTCTAACTGTATGAAATTCTGACTGATCAGGGAGTGGAGCTGTGATGGAAAAAATAATTATTATTAATTAAAACTTAAAATTGAATAATTAATTCAATCAACTGATTTATATAATTTAAATTTGGAAATCATAATGAATAGTGGGCTTAGATATAAGGATTGATTACTGCTCTATAAAAATAACAATACAATAGTTATTTTTTCTTTACTAATATAGACCTCATAAGTTAATGTTTAGAATAAATAAAAATGCAATGTTTCAATTATAGAAAGTTATAAAAAAAATAATTTGCTGCTTGATTTAGCACCAAATAACACACCAGGTAATTTCATATACCAAAAATAGAAATTTAAAAAAATTAACTTACAGCTAAATGCACCACCATGAACCCGTTTCTCTTCATTAGCATAATTTGGTCTCGCATGGCAAGAGAAGTGAACCCTGGAATTTTTTTGGCGAACCGGACACTGGCCTCCATAACAGGAACAGCCAGTTCTTGGAAGCGCTGAAATATCCCGTGGGAGAAGAACTGCTCGCTAGTGAGTGTATCCAAGACTTCTGGTGGGTCTAGCATCTGTGCAAGAGATTTATTATTACATAGTGTATTGAATGTAAGCAAATCATTGATTAGATAACAAGACAACTGAGCAGCTTTAGAGGGGATAAAGCTAATGAATCAGTATTTAACCCCTTTCATAGAGTCAAGATAAGATCTTAGGTAGAACTATAAGAAGTTTAAAAATTCTCCATTAAATTTGAAACAGTTTATTATGCTAGAGCTATAGATAAAATTTAATAGCCTAATTGGTGAATGTTTTAAGGCAATATTAGGAAAAAAATTCTTCATCAATCAAGCGTTTACTTATGGAAATACACAAATATATACATATCTCTCTCTATATATATATATAGATGATATATAAAATATATATAGGCCTACATATAATACTTACAAATATATATAAAATAAAATATGCCGTTATGTGGTTTAAAAAAACTTACCATGTTTTCAACAAGACTGAGGTGCGGAGATGTGGAGGTAGGTGTTGAGGGGGAGGGGGAAGGCGGCACGGAGGATGTGAAATGATATGGTGTTCCGGGAAGTTTGAGTGGGTGGTAGGGCTGGGACTGCTGGAGGTGGTGTGGCTGTTGCTGTTGTTTGTGCTGCTGTTTAAAGAAGATGGTGTTGCCGAATGTGTCCCTGAAGGCAGCTTTGATGAGGTCAGTAAGTGACCGGAGCTCGACTATTCTACGGCTACTGGTGCTGGTCAGTTCTTCGCGGTCCGCTAACAGTTTTTCGCGTTCAACTTTAGGCATGCGACCAAACCTAACAGCTGGAAAAAAAATTATGGCCATCATTTTTAAATCTTATAATTTATTTCAAAGTGTTTGACACACAAATATTTATGTTAAAAAATAAATATTCTATTATAGATACTCTGTTAGGAACTATATTGGACTAAACAATGCTGTCGTTTTCTACAGGTAACACTAGAATGGTTAGGACCATGGTTAGCATTTTAATTATAGTGGGGCGAAGGTAAGATGGTGATACATGCTAACCATCAAACATCAATAAACATAATGCTTTTCCAGCACAGCTAGAAGCACCAAAATAAATTTTAAATGGGTTCTAGAAACTATCTAGGGCACAGAGAGTATCATAATAATGTTCCGTACAAGTTTGAAATGCTGAGAAGCAAATAATTCAGTATTCAAATGAACTTACCATCTTGAGACATGCCAGCAAAGAGGCATCTCTGATACCTGCAGTACTGGCACTTGTTCCTGGTGCCGGTGTCTATTTTACATCTGGAGCCAGCCTGACATGGCTTGTAGACTAACTGTTTTTTCAGCGTCCTTCTAAAGAAACCCTGTGACATCAGAAAAAAATATTAATAAAATGTTAGTCTTCTGCCTAAATTACAAACTAGCTAAATTAGAAACTGATGTGAAAGGGGGGGGGGAGATAGTATACAAGTCATGTTTCTTCTTAGGATTTTTAAAAATTAAATTAGCATTAGTCCTTTAGCAATGTTGTATACATTTTGTATACTATAGGCTCACATAATAAATAATTTTTCAGCGTCCTTCTAAAGAAACCCTGTGACATCAGAAAAAAATATTAATAAAATGTTAGTCTTCTGCCTAAATTACAAACTAGCTAAATTAGAAACTGATGTGAAAGGGGGGGGGGGGGAGATAGTATACAAGTCATGTTTCTTCTTAGGATTTTTAAAAATTAAATTAGCATTAGTCCTTTAGTAATGTTGTATACATTTTGTATACTATAGGCTCACATAATAAATAACTATTAAATCTGTTATTTATTTGTTGACTTTTTTTTATCTTTCGGTAGTTTTGATAAAAAATTTAAATTAAACTATTACCCAAGCCATACCCACGTCCTGCCATTGCCCATTTATTATTAACCCTTGCTTAGGCCTAACTCCCTTAATCTCTTACTCTTTAGTCTTAAATCTTAAACTACTTAACTTAAAGCTTTACTTTACTTTAACGTAACCAAGCAACCAGTGTTATTGGACATTCATTTGTACTTTAACTTGTAGACAATGTAGTAGATCTAAAATTCTAATTCAAATTGGGACAATACTCCGTTGTTTTTTTTTTTTTTTTAAATTGATTAGTTCAACGGCCATCCCTGGCCTTTAAACTTACCTTGCAACCTTCGCAAGAATGAACCCCATAATGGAACCCAGACGCCCTGTCTCCACAAATTCGGCATAATACTTCAAGTTCTGTTGTGTACTGGGGTTTGTATTGCTGAAAGCGAAAGTGAAACAACACCTGTTAATGTATAGTTTTCGTTTACAGTGTACTGTAATTTATATGACCTATAAATTAACTCTCAGAGGGGACTTTTGTTATTTGACCTATTTTGTTTTTGTAAGTAACTAGATTATCAGCGACAGGTTGAGGGGGTGGGGGATTTACTGCGTATTAACTCGTTTTAATGGATTTACACTCGTTTCATTAAAAAAAAAAGTTTGTATCAGAAAATCCTTTGGGTCGGTCAAAGTATTTTGTTTAGCAATAGTGTGAACATAGTTTCAGCAGCGTGTGTTTTAGACATGCTATAGCTGAATTCAAAAGAAGTAAGCCGACATGTCACCATTTGACCTCATTCGGTGTCTGGTTTAATGACCTAGAACCTAGATGGAATTTTGGGTCAATTTTTAGAATGGGTCTAGAATAGTCTAGATCTATGTGTTCTTATTAAAAATATATTTCTAACTTCATTATTGTCAAGTCTCCATCTTATGCAGATTAAGCCTACAACACACTGATCTAAAATTTGATTAGCACAAGTTCTTTATAAAAAGATAATAACTTTGATTATTGTAGCTGTTTATGTCACACTAGCACATATTGATACTTGCCGATTAGCTATACACACACACATTCGAAGAAAGTGTATAAAAGTAGCCTACATGTTAAGTACCGGTTTTTGTTTTATTCGACTGTAGGACTGTATTCTAATGAATTAGTTTAGCTAAACTGAAGTCTTCAAAACTTTTTTTTACACATTTTTACCTTTTAACCGCGACATGAAAAAAAAAAAACTCGGTCAATCTACGTAAGGAAAAAAAGCTAAAAGGTCAAGGACGACCCTCAGGTTATTGATTCATTATCACATTCACGTCCAGCCAACGCGCTGTAGCATGGCCTCAAAGTACCTTGGCCTCGTTCTGATTTCTTAAAGCTATATTTAATTCTACAGACGAGGTGCGTGATAATAGATGGTCCAATTTAAATGGAGATAAACTTGAATATCCCGTTTAAGCGTAGGCGCTTATAAGCGAACCGAATTTGATTTTGGACAGGTTTTTTTTTAGTTTTGCTAGCTAGGGTGACACCATTTCTTAAGCGGCATTTCTAGAACATAATTTGTAGACTAGATGAACCCGTATGTAGTGTAAAAATTATGTCGGAATAGTTCGCCAGTTCTTTTTTTTATTTGCCCTCCCCTCCTTAAATAAGTAGATAGTTGCGATAAATTTTTAAAAATTTCCACTACACAGATCTAGGCTATGCGTTTACACAATTGTAGAAGGGATCCCGAGCATGCATTCATTATTTAAATTGTATTCTTTCTGCCCACAATCTACTCTTTCTAAATCTAACCCCTGTGACTGTTTAATATTAATGATATGCAGCCTTTTCGCGCCATTCAATTCATTTTTTTTGGACAAAGGATTCTGAAAGCCAGCCATTTTTATATTAGAATCTGGGTCTGCTTTAGCTTTTTATTTGAAAAGGGTCGGCACTGGCTCAAGCAGGGAGTGGGGGGTGTAAAATTACACCCTCCCCCGAAGAATGTCTACCCCCTCACCGAACAAAAAAATAAATATGGTATATGGAAAATACAAAAAAAAATCTTTACTTATATAAACTTTAACCAAAGCCCTCTACCCACTATAAATTTAAGTGCCCCCCGCCCCCCGCCCATAGGAGAAAAGTCTGAATTACCCACGGACGCCCAAACTGAAAGGTGTCTAAAGTTACAGATATTGGAGACGTTGCATAATTTTACTCCCTTAGAAACGTTTTCGATATTAAATAAAAGCCTACTTGACACCCCCTCCCCCAATTGTGGAAAAAAAACTGCTTACGCCACTGACAAAACTATGAAACATGAAAAAAAAATAGCGTGTGTCGAGTAAAATGTTGAGCACAGCAAAACCCTCAATTGGGGACACGTTGTATTGATTCGTGTGATACAAGCGACGCGGCTGGATCAATGGTGTATCGCATCATTTCTAGTCAAAGGAAAACGATTGGGTAGTTGTTTTGTGATATGTCACGTGGTTCATTCGGGTAATAAAAAAAAAATAGAAACAAAAATGAAACAAAAATACTCAAAAGACTTATGGAAGTTATCGATTTTTTTTCCTAACAGCCTTGACCTTACCGGTTTTCCCAAACTTACTAAAACTAATTAAAATAAATATATATATCCAAGATGAGGTGAATAAGTAGGTTTGGATACCAGTCGGACGCTTACATGTTCGTAGATAACCATGTATGTGTAGAAACGACCTATCATTAGGGCTAGAGTTTCTTCCAGAAATCTCTCCGGGGTTGGGGGTGTCTGAAGAAAGTCTACTCCAACTACCTACTTTACTTTTACTGTCGGGAAATTTTTTTTTATATATATATATATATATATATATATATATATATATATATATATATATATATATATATATATATATATATATATACATGAAACAAACAACTGAACATACCTTCCCGCTGTCAGAGGAGCCGCTGGGGCTCCGGGAGCCGTAGTCCTGCTGCGAGGACGGGGAGTCGGGGTGCTGCTGCTTGATCAGCTTCTGCTGGCGCTCATGGCTGGTGAAGTCGTGGAAGTGAACACTGCCAATGTCGGATGAGTCGGTCTGTGGACAAGCGCAGAGGGTGAGGTGAATGTGAGCAACATTTGAGTTTTTATAGAAGGGTTAGTTATGGTCATGTGACCACATGGGGGTGAGACTAACGTGAGCAACATTTGAGTTTTTCTAGAAGGGTTTAGTTATGGTCATGTGACCACATGAGTCGGTCTGTGGACACGTGCATTGGGTGAGGTGAACGTGAGCAACATTTGAGTTTTTCTAGAAGGGTTAGTTATGGTCATGTGACCACATATGAGCGGCGTGGTCGAATGGTAGAGCATACGACTGCTGATGTAAAAGTCTCGAGTTCGGATCCAGTCAGTCGGACGAGTCTGAGTCGACCCAGTTCTGATGAGTGCCTGACTCACATTAGGGAAACAAACGCGGCTCGGCATAGTGCTGACCATACTATCTCTTTGTATACCGTGTCATTGAAACATATTAGCTCTACTTCATCTACCCCATGATGTATCTTAGGCACAGACGGGAAAAGATAATGATGATGCGCCCTCATACAAACAGTATCAGTAGGGATCCAGATACAAAGATCATTAGTCCTCATTTAACAAATTAACAAACACTTCAATCTGAGACACCGAGGTCTCCTCAATTCATCTATGTTTTTTAACGAGACATAAAATAATATTCAAATCAACATATAAATGAAATGACAACCTTAACGTCAAAATTTTAAATTTGCAATATAGATCAATATTAATTTAAAATCCTGCTATTTTCAGACGAAGTTCTAGGATTGTAACGTTAGCCACAGTTAGGTTCACAGTAACTTAGTTGTTTTTTGTGACGTCGCCCTGTCTACGCTAATGTTGGTAGATCTAGTATCTAGATCTACGTCGTGAGTGAGTAGAGTTTCGTTCAAGCATATATTTTGAAGGGGGGGGGGAACTTGTGCCCACACCCTCAGGAACGAAATAGAAAACATATTTTATAAAAATATAAACTTTAACCAATGTCCATCTGCCTCCTTCGACTCGAACTTTTTAAGTGCCCCCCCCTACGAAGTTTTATAAGTGCACCCCCTCTCCCCCCCCCCCCCCCCCCCGGAGTAAAATGTCTGAGTAAACCCCTGTTCAGAAGACAAAAAATTACCTGCAAGACCTCCAGACACATAGCTGAAGGGGCGTCGACCGGAAATACGTAAAACTCGTCTGACACGGTACTGTTAGTGAAGATGTCTGCTGCAAGTTGAAAGAAAAAAAATGTCTTCGATAAAAAAAATATTGTAAAAAAAAAAACGTTGATGCAGAAGTTTGATGTTTGAATAATATTATATACCAATAATAATTTTTATTTTTATTTAAAGGCCAAGCTGAATGAACAGAAAGGTGGCCGGATGGGTGCGCAACAAAGCCATGCGCAAACAGAAAACTGCGCACACAAATGTGCGCAAGGAATTTTTTTCTTTAAATTGATAATTAATACATTTTAGCATAGAATGATTACATGTACACTGTAGCATAATAAAACAATTTTACACGCAACATGACAAAGTTATAGTATAGTTTTTTTTTTTACTGTATTTGCGCAACATTTTTTCTGTTTGCGCAGTTTATAGTTACGTAGTTTTTTTCACCGATTGATCATTATTCTCGGAATCTCATAGAAAGATCAGCTAATGCAGGAACGATGGATAAGGAATTAGGTAGTTGCTGTCAATTTGATTTGTGGTTTTATATTTAAAAAAAAAACCCAGTAAGACATTACACATTTCAGTAGTCAAGAATATCGCGTTGTTTTTTTTTTTTTTTTTTTTAAATTGCTCTACGAGTATCGCTGTAACGGTTATAATTAGCGTTTACTGTTTGAATTAGCGCCAAGTTAGGGTTGCAAACTTAGCCAGTAATCGCTATTATTTACCTTAGCAGGGTTTTAATTAAAGTCCTCTTTCGAGTCTTACGGTCCATTGACAGGTGAAGTAGAGTTCACCTGTTTCGGTGACCTCAGCAAACGAAGAGATAGCGAGGTCAGCACTATGCCCAGCCGCTTTTAATTTCGCTAACGTGAGTCAGGTACCCATCATAGTTGGGCGGACTCAGGGACGTTTTGACGGACTTGAACCCGAGATTCGAACTCGAGACTTTAATGATAGCAGTCGAAAGCTCTACCACCCCTCACTGGAAACAAATCCCCAATCAAGATAAACTTCTATTAGATTAGTCTTTATTGCTCTGATATTGTTAATAGATATTCGAACATGAGAGGTACTGAAAGATAACATAAAACCAATCTATTTTGTCCTTGAAAAATTAAAATTAAAGTTTTTTTAACGGTATACTCACAATTGTAAAATGATGCCGAATTTTGGAAGGCTCATAAAATTTGAATAAAAATATAATTTTATGTCTGTTACAAGATAGCTACCATTATCAAAATAAATTTTTAAACAATTTTTTTAAAAGCAAATATCTCAGTTTTCGCACTCAAATTGCATTACAAAAGCGAAACAGCATGTTAGGAAAAAAAATGTCCCTAATATTATTATGCACAGAAGAGATCCCTTATGATATTCAAATTTATTCCACGTACACAAAAAATTATGAATTCAGCATTTCAAACACAACCTTGACAACTGGAAAAAAAATTAGAGTGGTTGCAATTTTTCTTCTTATTTTTTCCCCAAATGTCCAACATCTTCAAGCAATTAATGTTTCATTGCCATCCAAGTTGCCTTATTAGGTAATAGAGGCGGGCTTTAGCCAGCCACCCAATCGCAAAGCTTCTTACAATAAGTAATAACCTGTTATATTGACGCTCAAGGATGTGTTTTAAAAATAGAATTGAGTTTTCCCAATACAGTCATTTGGTTGCACGATTTTACTTTTGAGAGTTAATTAAGACCGACCCTTCATTTTCGACACCGCTGTCTAAAACAACTGGTTTAAAAAAATCCTAGCTAGATCTAGTAGTCGACAACGAAACTGAAATTATACAAATAATTTCAGTGCGCTATTTTAGATATAGACTATATACTTTGAGTGTATAACGAGGACAGGGGTGTCAATTAGTAATTTACTAATAAGTGGTTTATATAGAATAATATAGATACATGTATTAGTAATTAATGGATCATTATGTAATAATATAGATAGTGGAACTTCAAGATTTCTGTAATGCGATTCGATGGTACTATAGCTAAAGGTACAGAGGGAATTCTGCAAGCACCAGAGTTTCTTTCAGGCATATTTTGTTAGGGGATGGTGGTGAAGAGGGAGGGGGGGGGCGGAGGAAACGTCCGCCCCCCGATGAAATAGAAAAAATATATAATTTTCATACTAAGTAAAAACTTAAACCAGTGTCCACCCATCTCCCCTCCCCCGGAAACCAATGTCTGAAAGAAACCCTAGCCAACACCATGTACAGGCATCTTTGCCTCAACAGCGTAACGCTTTTGAAACGATTTTTGCCCCACCCCTCCCCCGCCCATCGTCACACGTGTCACTCAATACAAGACCCCCCTACCATGTCACACAATCACAAAGCCCCTACCACCTGTCACACAATACCACCACCCCCCTATAATACTCCACTTAGAGTTACCACCACCCCCCCACCCCCCATATAAAATGTATGTGTTCAAAAGCAAATAAAGAGTGTACCCAGCTCACTACTAGGCAAACAAAGAAATCCTTGAACTTGATCTGATCAGAAGTTAAAGATTAAAATCCATAACCCAAACCCTATAAAAGCTACATTCAACGACCCAGTTAAAAGGTTACAAACAAAAAAAAAAAGAAGATGAAAGACAACAGAGTCAACTATAAGTCGGCTTTAACGACATAATTCAAGCATAGGTATTGCCAGGTTGTTATATGCGTTAGCTGATGACGTGAGTAGGTCTTCGTGAGTAAAAAGATTGAAAATATAATCAATGAAGTGTAAACATAAATCTGAGTTTCTCAGTGGCGTAGATAGACATCTCGATATACAATGAGTAATATATATATATATATATATATATATATATATATATATATATATATATATATATATATATATATGTAATTACACACACGTGCATCGTATCGTCGAAACTCACCCTTCTTAGGTACGCATCAGGGAGGTCCACCGATTAATTCTGAATTAAAACGCTAATTAATTGTAGGCGGCCCACTTACACCATGCGCTATACTGTTTATCTAGCTCTAGACTAGTCTAGACAGAAAAATGGGGGTTGGGGGGTGTAGTTGACCCGGTCTAGTGAATGGTACTAGAACTACGTGTAGAAATTGTCATATGAAGTCTATCTTGACATTTTCAAGCATACATTATAAAACACAATACCAAGATCAGCATTTGTGAACTTTACTTACATAACCAATGAGAGAACAGGTTGCCCTGACCTTAAAAGTTATTTTTAAACGCGTCATTTCATGTACAAATACAACACAATAGAATTTAATCTGCATATGCCTTGCAAACTAAATCCGCTTTTTATGTAGAGCGTTCTGCGCAAGTCGGTTTTGGCGTTACCTATTATAGACTGACCAGTTGCAGTATACATGTTGAAAAAAATTCATGTACTTCAGCGTGAAAGACCTTGGCCGTGCGCCAAATACTTAATCAGCGAGAGGAAAAAAACCGAGTCAGTTTTTTAAAAAGCTAAACTGGATAGATGGGGGGTGGGTGTTTCGTCGGGGAGGGGGAAAAGAGGGGGTTGATACTGATAGACACGGCACATTTTGCGTCTTTAATAATTTTTTGATAGAGAAGATATTGAAGTACAATGGTGAAGCCAGTCATATCAAGAACGTGAAGAGGGGGTTTGTAAATAAAAGAGGAAAGGGGAAAGGATCGCGTAGACTGATATAATATATCGATTACCGCCCATGAAAGTCTCGAATGTGGAGGGCGGGTGAACAAAAGGATAGTCTGGATGCGTCTGTTTGCAGACAGTAGCCTGAATTTTTTGGTTGAGGGAAAGTGAAAAGGGGAGGTAGGGGTGGGGGGGGATAGCTAAGGTCAGACCAGAAGAATGGAATCCAAGGTATTTTTTGTTGGAACTTGTAATATAGCCGGCAAGGCACTTATGTTTCGTATAGTTACTAGACTTAGACTCTACAGTACTCTATAGTAAATAATACAGTATGTAGATCTAGTATTAGGTATATTCTTTATAAGTGTTTATTTTTTTTATCAGGCGAGGAAAGGTTTGCATTTGAGTTAGAGTCAAGTTTAGTGCTAGATCTAGATCTAGACATAAAGCGCTTTAACTACAGTTAGTGTTAGGGTTATAATGTAGCTTTTTAAAATTACTAATAAGATAACGAAAATATTAGACTGGGCGCATTCTACCGCTTGTTTGTAATTTAAGTAGAAGAAAAAATGTTGCGGTATTTTAATGAGTATAAGTTCTGCCCTCGTTAATTGAAGGTTAATGAAACTAAAAATAACTTACAACTTCAAAACCCCGGGTAATTAACTTCTGATTGTATCACAGTATACTATACTTACTGAGTATAGTATAACTTGGTATAGTTAGTATACAGGCTGGTGTAGCCTACTGACTACTGTGTGTTAGTAGACTACAAAGTGGCATAAAAGCCTACACTACATGTTACTCTATTGTTAGGAACAGCAGATAGCCAGGCTGACCTTTCCCCCCCCCCCCCCCCCCCCATCCATTACAATAAATAAAACATTGCCAGTACTCATGAACTTAGCAGCCTTAGCTACTAGAATCTAGATCTAGATTCTAGCCCTAACCGGTAATCGAACTTGGTGCCATGGGCTTATCAAAGACTTGACTTAACTTTAACATCTTCTAGATCTAGATTCTAGAGCTAGAGTATAGAGTCTATTCCTCAATTATAATTCTAGAATCTAGAAGAATCCTAGATTCCAGTCTGTGTTCAAAGTTTAAAAAATAAATTAATGAAATTTTAAAAAAAAGTTTGTTTCTACTTACACATACAACTCTCCTCAATAAGCAACATTTTTTAACGATCAAAACCTAAAAATGAACGCAGCCGCCGTGAAGCATCGTGAATGAAACACACACGAATCAAAATCCAAAAAAAAAAAAAAAAATATTTAGAATCTAGAATCTAGTTCCTCACAGTAACTCGGCACACACAAATGATGAGCTAATCGTCCTTGCCGTAAGAAATATTTCAACTATTCGAATAAATTACGCCAAAAGTCAAACAACTGATATAGTATCCGATCATACAAAAGTCTGTCCTTGCTAGCCTCTATCCATCAGCTGTCTGAAGTCCTGAACTGAACCAGACAGCAAGGTCCTAACACGCAGAAAGCGACCACTGCAGGTCTCCTCTCCTCACTTTTTCCTTATTCAAAGCCCTCGTTTTTTTTCCTCTCCAGCGCGCTCTCGCCGGCTAACAGCACTAACCCAGTGACCCAAATTCACCGTGAGAGTTTATGCAGTCACCTTGGCCCGATAGTTGAGGGCACTGGGTCAGAAATGGCGAATTGCGCAGTCGCGGTACGCCGTCGCTTAACAGCGGGCAGAGCTAGTGATCCGTACAAGGGAATCGTAACATAAGGGAGTTAGGAGAAAATGTTTTCCGCGTAATCAAACATATATATATATATATATATATATATATATATATATATATATATATATATATATATATATATATAATATATGGGCCCTACAGTATATTTAATATACAAAGCTTTAATTACCTATATATATATATATATATATATATATATATATATATATATATATATATAATATATATATATATGCCTATATATATATATGCCTATATATATATATATATATATATATATATATATATATATATATATATATATATATATATATATATATATATATATATATATATATATTCAAACATATATATATATATATATATATAATATATGGGCCCTACAGTATATTTAATATACAAAGCTTTAATTACCTATATATATATATATATATATATATATATATATATATATATATATATATATATATATAATATATATATATATATGCCTATATATATATGCCTATATATATATATATATATATATATATATATATATATATATATATATATATATATATATATATATAATACTCTTATTAAGTTATAACAGTCAATATTGTAATTATTAAATGAATTGCACATTAAGGGAAAAAAATTTTTAAAAGTGCTTTAATCTAAATGTGTATATTCTAAAGGGAAACAAAATCATATTAATGTCAAGTAATTAATTTAATTTATTTTTATTATTTGTAATCAGTTATATAATCATGATAATAAAAAAAAATGTTCAAAAAATGTATAACTATTTTTTTAAAAGTACTATTTATTGAACTAAAAAATTATGCCCCCCCCCCCCCGCTATTTCCTTACTATCAGCTGCCCAGCGGGTCTTATATAAACCAACGCAATTCAAACTCCACGCGACGGCGCATGTGACACGGGCAACGTCACCATGACATTTTAAAACAGGACAGGCGGGCGAAGAAAAACTCTGTCGCTGTAAGCCCTCTCTTTTTTTCCCCCACACGACTCGGGCTAAATTCAAATCACGCCGAATGTGTAGTTATACTTAAAATGATAACACATCATTGCAATGGTCTATTTGATTGTTGATTCTTATCGTACACAAAAAAAAACTAGAATATTATCTCTAATGTGTAGTGCTATGAGATAAAAGTTTAAGTTTACATAACTAACTTTTTTTCGTGCGGTGGTTTATTTTAAATCATGCTAACGCAGCAGAGCGGCTAGGCCTGTGTTAATGTTTGTTTAGATATTAGGCGAATTCACACCATCACTAAATTAAACAATTCGTTTCATCTTTCCCGAGCCAGTTTTTCTTTTTAAATTTCCAACTTTTTAAACTTTGTTTTCGTGGCGACATTTTTTTTTTTGTATACATCAGCTCATTCATCTACCTTTAAAAAAAAGTTGGATTTTTTTTTGTTTAAACGAAACAAAAATAGCTGGGTGTGTGGGAGGGGGGAAGTGGTGGTTGAAAGTGTTGCCAACAGGGGTATCGCGGTTTCAAAATATTTTGAAAAACATTCCAGACGAATCATGAGTGTGTGTGTGAGTCTCCCCTGCGTGTGTGTGTAGCTGTGTATGTGCATGTGTGAGATTGTCTGCGTGCTCTAGTGAGTATTTATATACAAAGGTTTAGGTGAGTTACCGGGTTGATTTTTTACGTCACAAAATTGGTGTACCTTTTTGCTTGTCTTAAAATCAGATTAGATGGGAAAAAAATGTATACTATTTTTGAATGTTTGAAAATACTTCGCTTAAATAAACCGGTAGTGATCTCCCCTAAACTTTCTCGAATATTCTTATATAAAACAACAGGGGATGGTAACTGGGGATATAGTTATGATTTTTAATCCATTTTAAATACTAAAACTTTTAAAAATAGAATAGAATCTCAGTAAAAAACAATTGCGCACCAAGCGAACGCCTAATAAAGGTGTGTATAATAGTGCGCAATATTATTAGTACTTTTAAAATTTACATTAGTTTTTTGAGAAATCGGAAGTAGCGTAAATTACTACTTCCTGTCAACGGAAATTACTCAAAATTTAACAGAAGGTAGAGAATTAGATCTTTTACTTACATGTGAAATTTCATTTATCTATCTGAAATAGTACTCAAGTTATAGGCTTTTAAAAAATTCAAAGTAGGAAAAGTACCACTTCCGGTTATCGGAAATCGCTCAAAAGTTGATACGGATCTACGATTTTGATAAAATACTTATATATGAAATTTCATCAACCTAGCTGTAACGGTACTCAAGTTATCGTGTTTACACACGGACAGACAGACAGACAGACAGACACACACACACACAGACATACGGACAAGATTGCAAAATTATGTTTTTCCGTATCAGTGAGGTGTAAAACGTCGAGATTTGTAAAAATCTCGATTTTTTTTTTGCACGATTACAATACTTTCTCTATACTACGTATATACGAGAAAGTAAAAATCGCAGAACATAAAAAATGTATTTTAAAAAAAAAGATTAAAAAATAACGTTTTAAGCTTATGATCAAAGTATAAATTTGGCAGGCTTTCTAAAAGATTCGTGCTTTACTATTCTTTTCCAACTTTATTCTTCTCTACAGGATTGATATCTCTTTCTCTCTCACCTCGTCTCTCGCCGTCTCTCTCGTTATTGATCTCACCCTACATATTGGACTGATGCTGAAAATGATATTCCTGCACCATTCCTAGAATAGTCAGACTTATATATATATATATATATATATATATATATATATATATATATATATATATATATATATATATATATATATATATATATATATATGCATATGAGCATTGTAAAAGTGACTATTGTTTAAGCTTGTTTCTCTATAAAAGGTATTAAGTAACGCCATCAAACACTTCCTGGTCTGGGTATCTGATAAATGAACGGTCTAGAACTGGTTTCTATGGAGTCGCAGAATAGTAAACATATCATTTGTCATCGTCAGCGACTTACTGGATTACGGGCCTTCAAACGGTGCCAACCAACAATTATTCAGTACTTGTCGTAGTATACAATCATGTATGTCTGTGAGTTTGACGAGGGTCTGTTTATCTACTCACATTGAGAGAGGTTTTAGTACACCAGCATGTATGAGTGTGAGTTTAGCGATAATCTGTTTATCTACTCACGATGAGAGAGTTGGGTTTTAGTACACCAGCATGTATGCGTGTGAGTTTAGCGATAATCTGTTTATCTACTCACGATGAGAGAGTTGGGTTTTAGTACACCAGCATGTATGTGTGTGAGTTTAGCGATAATCTGTTTATCTACTCACGATGAGAGAGTTGGGTTTTAGTACACCAGCATGTATGTGTGTGAGTTTAGCGATAATCTGTTTATCTACTCACGATGAGTGAGTTGGGTAGTTTAGCGCCAGAAAGATGCCATTGTGCTGTACCTGTGACCTCATCTTTTCCCGTTCGTGCCAAAGACACATGAGGTAGATGAAGTAGAGTTCTAATGTTTCAAGAGCCTTTTCAGCCTACAGGGAGATAAAGTCGTAAGCAATATGTCCAGTCGCCTTAGTTTCACTAAGCCGACAATGTAAAAAGAAACCCACGGCCCTATTCCATTTGAAACCAAACAATAAAAGCTACAGAAAAAAAAACCTTCATAATAATAAGCTTTTAAATGCGCCGCAGAATAATAATAATAAAAATAAACCGGGAGTGATCTCCCCTAAACTTTCTCGAATATTCTTATATAAAACAACTCGGATGGGAACTCGGGCTATAGACATGATTTTTAATCCATTTTAAATACTTAAAGTTTTAAAAATAGAATAAAATCTCGTAGACAAAAGAATTGCACACCAAGTGAACGCCAATTAAAATAAAGTGCATAATAGTGCGCAATATTATTAGCACTTTAAAAATTTACATTAGTTTTTTGAGAAATCAGAAGTAGCGTATATTACTACTTCCGGTCAACGGAAAGTACTCAAAATTAAACAGAAGGTAGAGAATTAGATCTTATACTTACATGTGCAATTTCATTTATCTATCTGAAATAGTACTCAAGTTATAGGCTTTTAAAAAATTCAAAGTAGAAAAAGTACCACTTCCGGTTATCGGAAATTGCTCAAAAGTTGATACGGATCTACGATTTTGATAAAATACTTATATATGAAATTTCATCAACCTAGCTGTAACGGTACTCAAGTAATCGTGTTTACACACAGACAGACACACACACAGACATACGGACAGAATTGCAAAGCCCAGTTTTTCAGACTGGATTACGCATAAAACCTCTTAATTTTGATAAATCTGGATTGATAATTTTTGCCCGATTAAAATAAGTCCTCTATACTTCGGATGTGATGAAGGACTGAGGTGTAATACGGTGAAAATTGTTAAAATTTCAAGTGATTTTTGTGCACGATTACAATACTTTCTCTATACTTCGTATATACGAGAAAGTAATAATAATTTGTAAAAATGATTGCTTTATGAAAAAAAATAGTTCGCTCTGTATGTACAAGATTTTTTGCTCGACGTTAGCT